ATAATTATATATATATATATCACCAGCTGCGTATTCCAGCTGTGTATGAACCCTGTGCACAATGTGCTCCATCTTATTTTGGAGCCTGTGGGTCTTGATTCGTGAATCTTGACACTGGCCACATGCATATTGCACTTGCCTGGGAATTTGCCTAGGGCAAGGCCCAGATGCCACTCACTCCTCTAGTGTTCAGCCAGGGCATGGAGCCCACTGGAGTGGCATACACATTCTGTCTTCCTTACATGAGACCTGTTCAGTCATTCTCAAGAATAATCTTTTACGTTGTCTTCAGAGAGCCCTGATTCAAAACTTTCCAGGATTAGTTCTCAAAAAGTACCTTGGTCTGGGGGTTGTGTGGCTCATTGGCAGCACGTACAAGGGTCTGGGTTTGATCATCAGCCCTGGGGGAAAAAGTTACATGTAGTTGGTGGGACACAGTGACAAATGCAATCAAAATTCTGGCGTCCTTATGCCACACAATGTCCAGAGCAGACGAAGTAAAACTTGGTGGCCTCTGGCCCTCTAGGGAAGCAAGGATTGTGGGTCACCTTACATTTGGGTCACCTCCATGGACGCATAGGCCAGGTAGGCACTTCTGCTAGAAGTTCCCGCAGAAGCCCGAGGGAGAAGCCCACCAGGAGCTTGGCTCAGGGTACACCCAGAGAATGGCCCTCAAACTTGTTCCATTTGTGTGATAAGAAGGATCCTGAAGACAGAGATCTGGGTTTGCTATTGGTATTTGGGGACATAAAGGAATCTGGCAACCATGATTCTGGGCTGTTCAGATATAGACGGGAGCTGTGCCTGTGTGAGCTGTGCTGAGATCTGGAGTCTGGGGAGGAGTTTTGGGGGATGGAATAAGGAGTGCACCCACTAACGTATTCACCGAGTTCAGTGTTGGCTCGACAATGTGTCCGAGTGCTTAACTCTCGTCTGGCTTTGTAGCTCCAGGACTGAAGACAGGCTTGGCTGCCTTTCCCCTGACTGCTTCTCCTTCCTGTTCAGAGGTTGACAGGGTTCATGGGATGACTTGAGCTTGGTAGGAGCTCCCTGCAACTGGAACGAGGAGGGGCCATCTGTTGCCTCCACACCAAGCTAGGACTTGGGCTCAAAAGACTCCTTAGGGCTAGCAACAGACCAGTGTGGAAGGATCTTGGGGTAACCACATCTTTCTCCTCCTGCAGGCTACCCATTCTCCAGGGAGGCACATTTGCTTTTGTGGCGCCCTCTCTGGCCATGCTCTCTCTTCCAGCCTGGAAGTGCCCAGAATGGACACTCAATGCCAGCCAGGTGGATACCAGCTCTCCTGAATTCACTGAGGAATGGCAGAAGAGGATCCGAGAGGTAACAGGGCCGGGGGGAGTAAGTGGGAGGATTATAAGGGTGAGACAGGGACTCCTGAGTCTGTCTGTTCATTTTTGTTCGACATTCATTATCCAACTCCCTGCCAAGAAAGACCCTGGTCTTTAAGATGCTGATGGATACAAGACAGACACAGATCCTCTGTCAGGAGCTACAGGAACCTGGTGTGTGTGTGTGGTCGGTGGGGCAGCATGGGGAGGAGAGAGAGATACTCCAACAAGAAGACAGAAGAGGGGAATTTCAGGAACTCATAAGTATGATGAAGAAGAGGAAATGGGGTGGGAGGGATTGGGACTGCCAGAGAGGAGAGCGAAATGGCTGTTCTCAGGAGCATCCACCTTTCAGAGGAAGAGTGTGAGCGACAGAGACCTCCATCTTTCCTTTAATATGCCTTCTGTTTGTTTTTATGCTGGTGACATGTAGAAACCCTCAAAACAAGAGGCAGCAAAGGATGATTCTTTGCTGCAGGCCGAGCCTGAAGATGGCCTTTCACCTTCTCCCGACTGCCTTTCTCCTCCCTACTGATTAGATAATCAAACAGACACAGACTGTTTGACTAAGACTGTAGACCTGGGATGGCACAGCCCCCGGAGACAGTTACATTTTACATCCGGCCCTGTTCCCTTCCTCACCTGCCCCCATCACACCAAGTCCTGCCTAGGCCATGTAGGCCACGTAGCCAGTTGCCCTGCCCTCTCTTCCTGTTTGCCTTCCACTATAAAGAATACGTGCGACTCCAGGCGGCCATTCACTCCCAACAAGCTATGGTTTCACCTGGTCTCAGCTTTCGAGAACAGTCTTGGTTTCTTCATTTTTTTCTACATCTTCCACCGCTCTCTCCCGCTTTGCATGCTTCGTTGTATGGGTTGCTGCAATTCTTGGACCAAATCCCATATGTAATCTGTTCTTTTGTTTGGTTTGGCCTTTTTTTTTTTTTTCCTGCTTATGAGTGAAAAATGGTTTATATTTTTAAAAGGTTGTCTAAAAAAAGGTTATGTGGCAGAAGTCACATGTGGCCTAAAAACTCTAAAATATCTACTCTGGCCTTTGACAGGGAAAGTTTATTTCTGGTTTAAAACACACAGCTCAAAACAGGGGCTCTCTTGCCCAGGTCTAAGGTAGTCAGTCTGTCTTTGGCCCCTAACCCCCAGGCAGTCACAAACCCAGTTTTATCAGTGGTATTTTAGCTCCCTCTGCTGGTCAAATATTTCTCACCAGCCCTATAAATGAAAGGACTTTCAATTTCATTAAGTATAATTAATTCACTGGTTTAATTCACTGAGTCAGCCTATCGGGGTGGACTCCTCATGGCTCACTGAATCGTATTCTCAAGGCTGGAAATAATCAACTGTCACCAGGCCAACTATATCATAATCCCAGTCACAGAGGAAAGCAATAGGAACACAGCACCAGTAGCAGAGCCAGGATGCACAGAGCTCAAGAAACAATGGGGAGTAGGAAGAAAAGGGCTAAAGGATTAGGGGAAGTGGGAAGGGTAGGGGAAAGGACATAAGGGAAAAGAAAAAATATGAGAAAATGAAAAAACAGAAATGAAGTCTTTGTAAATTGGGAAGGGAGGAGGGGGTGAAGGAAGGGCGGGGATAAGGGGAAAAATGAGAACCAAGATACATCATATAAAGATACAAGATCCCAATGATGGATACAACTGTACTGTATACATAAAAAGTACCAATAAACTCAGTAAATTAAAAAAAACTAATGGGGAGGGAGGAGTGAACAGTGATTCTGTTTCGGAAAATTGGTGGTTTCAGAAGTAGAAAACTGTGGAAAGAGATGGCAAGTTCAGTTTCCAATACATCAGACCAATTAAACTTCACCTTCCACTTTTGTGGTAACTTAAATTACACAGAGCCCATTCACTTTACCAACATAAAAAAAAAGATGGATGAATTTTCAAATGCATACTTGAGTTTAAAGTCAAGGGAAAATGCACCACTTTCTAGGAATGAAATTTCTAGAAAAGACCACTTTCTAGAAGATGTGACTTTTAGCCAGAATCATGGAGTTTATAATAGTAGGATGATGAACCAGACCCCAATATAGAACCAAAGGCTAGAAGCCTGTGTTTTCATGATTCACCGGTGCTAGAAAGGACACTCCCTCAAAGGAATGGAGATCTATAAAGACTCTACCCACAAGCCAAAGGAATTAGCGAGGACATTTTTTATTCTTCCCAGGGTGCTGTGGGAAGTGATGGAATATAGATTTGCATGAGAAATAGAAACTCCAACACACAGTGGTATGGAAGAAAGTTTCTCAAGCTGAGAAACTAAAAGCTGGCCTTGTCAATTGAACCACCCAGGGTTCTGAGCAAAAGCAAATGTAAAATCACTCTGTTGGCTCACTTCCACATTCTAGGGTACACAAAATTTCCACAGGAATAAACAGTTCCCTGGAAGACGAGCCCACAGATGTAAATTTCATGACATTATGAAAGACATTCAGCAGAAACAAGAGATAATTGAATATTTGGAAAGAGGCTATTAAATCAAAGTGTTTAAATTAATTTAAGAGACTAGAGAAACAATAAAAACCATAATACAAAAGATTAAACAAAACAGGAATTTAAAAATAGAACCAAACAGACCTTTAGTAATACAAATACATAATCAAATCATTGTAATTGTAAAATGCATATAATGGCTAAACAGCATTAAACATAGTTAAAGGGAAATGAATGAAAGGATTAAAAGGTGATCTGAGGAGAGCCCGCCTCACCTCATGGCTTTGTCCCATAAAACACCTTTGAGAAGTTGGGTGAGTGGGCAACCCATTTTCCAGTCCCCCTTCTGTCTCTCTTAGAAGCTATCTTTCACTCAACAAATTTCTCCGACTCTTATAAAAAAGTTGATCTAAGGAAATAATCCAGAATGCAGTACAGAGGGGCAAAAAGATGGGAAATATGAAATAGAGAATAAGAAATGCAGAAAGAGAAGGAGAAGGGCAAGTTGTATCTAATAGGAATTCCAAAGGGTGATAAGAAAAAGAAAGGCAAAAGTGACAGTAATAGAAGAGATGTGACGGTGACTAGTTTAGGGCAAGATGTGAATGCTACTCAGGCTGATCAGTACCACACCAAGTCCCAAATGTAATGAATAAAATAAGTCCAATACTAGACACACCATGATGAAACTGCAATATCAAATACAAAGAAAAAATATTAGAAGCAACATGAAAAATAGTTGCATACAAAAGAACACCAAGTGTTCATTCAGCACGCAGTCATTCAGAAGCCTTCTCCCCAGCAACATCAGAGACTTGAAGACAATGGAGCATTTTAACTCCATATCACACAGGCCTGATGGCAAACTAAAGACATTTTCAGTTAAACAGAGATGAAGAGAGAATATTCATCACAGACCTTTATTGAAATAACTACTCAAGGTTATTCCTCAGGCAAAAGGATATTAAATCTTGAATCAAAGAGTGCTTGGTAATAAGATGTGTGTATTAGTCAGCTCAGGCTGCCGTAACAAAAACCCCAGAGACTGGCCGACTTAAGCAACAGAAGTGGATCTCCTTGCAGTTCTGGAGGCTGGAAGTCTGATAGTGGGGTGCCGGCATGATTGGGTTCTTGTTAGGGCCCTCTGCTTGGGTTGTAGACTGCTATTTTCTAGCTGTCTGCACGCAGTCTTTCCTTGGTATTTGATGTGAGGAGGGGAGATGTCTTCCTTTTATTAAAATAAGCTACTAATGATATCATGGAGCCCCTCTCCTGACCTCATCTAAATCTAGTTACTACCCAAGCCCCCCTTTCTAAGTACCAACAACAAATGAATTTGGGAGGGACCACAATTTGGTCCACAGCAATGGTAAATCTGAGTATTGATTATAGGAAAACACAATAAAATTCACACTTATGAGAGTGGAAATATAAACAAACAAATATTTGACAATAATAATATGGAAAACCTAAGATGGTGATGGGAGTTAAATTTTTCTACAGTCATTATACTATTTTGGAGGATGCTAGGAAATTTAGTTAACTGTAGACTTTGTTATATGAAGTATTCATATTAAAAAGTTAAGAATAGGGGCGGGGGTTTAGCTCAGTGGTGCCACCACCTGCCTCACAAGCTCAAGGACCTGTGTTTGAACCCCAGTACCAAAAAAAGGTTAAGAATAACTTTTGAGTTTTGATGGCCAGTAATAGTCCATCATTCTTTTTCTCATTGAATTTACTGGTACATTTTAGGTGTACAGTACAGTTACATTCATCATTGGGATCTTGTACCTTTACATGACAGGTCTTGGTTCCCAAAGAATAAAAATCAAAGGTACAACATCTACACAGTTAAAGTCAGAAAGGGGAAGTAAAGTAAACTCGTTCATTCTGGTGGATCAGGGGTTGGTGAACTACAGCCCAGGAGCCATTGCCTTTTTTTTTTTTTTTGGTCCGAGAACTCACTATGTAGCCCAGGCTGGTATCGAACTCACAGTGATCCTCCTGCCTCAGCCTCCCAAGTGCTGGGATTACAGGCGTGTACCACCATACCCAGCTCCACTGCCTATTTTTGAATAGCCTATGAGCTAAGAATGGTTTTACATTTTAAATGATATTTTTTTTAAATCCTAAAGAATAATATATCTTGACATGTAAAAATTATATGATATTCAAATGCCAGTGGCTATAAGTAAAGTTTTATGGGAACATAGCTACGCTCACTTGTTATCTTGTCTGGAAAGGCTGTGATGGAGCCTGTATACCCAGAAAGCCTAAAACCGCTAACTGGTCCTTTACAGACGGAGTCTGCCTACCCCTGCAATAGAAAGTGGGAAAACAAAAATATGGCAGCCAGATGTTCAGTCCATCACTGAATCATGCTAGTGTGCAAGTCAGTGTCATCACCGCGACTGTGCTGGATGAGTAATTTTGAAGCCTATTTCCCAAAAAATGTCACATTAAATGAAGCCCTCCAACAGGGAGTTGGAAACCCAGCTGAAAAGAGGAAGTTGGCGCTGTTCTTCCCACTTCCTCTGGGTTCCAGCTCTGCCTCTGTTGCTGGGAGGCACTGCCTTGGGGTGGCCGGGTCTGGTGGGGAGCCCCAGCAGCTGGGGATGCGATGGTAGCTGGGACTGGACTGAGCCTTCTCTCCCTTCAGCTGCAGGGTGCCATCATGGTGGCTTCCTGTGTGCAGATCCTGGTGGGATTCTCGGGCCTCATTGGCTTTCTCATGCGCTTCATCGGCCCCTTGACCATTGCTCCGACCATTTCTCTGGTAGCCCTGCCTCTCTTTGATTCTGCGGGCAATGACGCTGGAGTCCATTGGGGGATCTCCTTCCTGTAAGTACTCTGGATATATCACCTAGTAAGAGTAATAGGGTCCAAGATATTGGCAAACTCTTGTGGTTTACAAATACTTCAGTGAACATTATCATGCTTGTGTGTGTGTGGGGGGGTGTGTGGTGTGTTGTGTGTTATTGGGGATTGAATCTAGAGCTTCACACCCAACTACACCCCAGCCTTTTTTTTTTTTTTTTTTTTTTTTTTTGAGAAATGATCTCACTAAGTTGCTAAGTTGCTCAGGTTGGGCTCAGACTTGTGATCCTCTTGTCTCAGCCTCCCAGAAAGCTGGGACTCCAGGCTGTCAAACCTTTTAAGAACCAAAGGTGCTACCTATCATTCATTAATACTGTTAATTATTTTATCTTACTAATAACCACAGATAATGAGTTAATCACAAGAAGTATAGTAAGAATACACAGTGTTTACAAAAAGTTGATCCTACCAGCCACTCACCAACTAGGTTTTCATGGAGTTGGGAAAGGTGCAAAGGGTGCTATCTCAAGTGTGGTATTGTCTGTAAGACAGAGATAAGGCTCAGTGCAATCTGGGGACAGCCACAAGTCATAGGGTGTGCAGAGGAGGCGAGGGCAGCCAGCAGGGAGGCTCAGGAGGCTTCATGACAAACAGCTTCCTCACTTAAAGGCGTGAGACTGTCCTTCAGCCTGCCTTCTGTGGTCTCGGGTGAGGTGTGAGGACCATCTGGCCCACAGAGGGGCCTGGGTGGAAAGATGGTCCCTGACTCCCACTCCGTTGGCTGTAACTGCTGGGTCGGTGTGACTCCCCAGAACCAGGAGCATGCTATCCCACTCTTTCTCCAAGACCGAGCCCCACTCAGAGATGGCAGGACTCTGTCTGTGCTCAGGAGTAGTCTGGCTGGGACCCTCCCAGTGAGGCTCCTGCTCCCAGAGACTCAGGGTGACTCACTCCCTGGCCACCCTAAGCCTTGTGTGCCCTCTGCTCAGGATGAGCCCTGACGCAGGTTGGGTGTGGTTGTTGCTTCCTGTTTCAGGACCATCTTCCTCATCGTGCTGTTTTCTCAGTACCTGAAGAATGTCTCCATGCCTGTGCCTGTCTATGAAGGATGGAGGAAGTGTCGCACCACAAAACTCTACGTGTTTCAGGTCTTCCCTGTAAGAAGCACCCCTTGCCCTGTGCACTGAAAGGGCCTTGGAGAGTGCAGGTGGAGCACCTTCTCCATGCCCACAGTCCCCCGGCCAGTGATGTCCTGTCTGTGGTGGCCTCATCCTAGGGCAGGGGGCAGCCCGAGGAGTGTGGTGTGCACCCTAGTGATTGCTGCCTGCCACCCCGGGTCTGCCTTCAAATGCTTTCCCCAGAGCCCCAGGTCACCGCTCCAGGCACCAGTGTGGGACAGACAGCTTTCTCCTCATGACAAGGTCCTGGTAGACATCCAAGTCACCTCGAATGATGAAACATCAAGAGCCAGAAACAGCCTACTGGGGGCCACGTTGCTTAGAACGGGGTCTTTCGAGATGGCTCTGTGGTGAGCCGGTTACTGATCATGACGATGGTCTCCCTTTTCAGACTCTTCCCAGTGAATTCTGTCAGGTGTGTGTAGTGTCAGCCACACACTGTCTTCCAGTTTAATTTAACTGTAAACTTTATTTCTCAGGTAAAATGGGACTTCCACATAATTATCTCATTGATCCTTCAACAACTCCACAGCTCGGTGATTCCAAAATTCAGTATGCATAGGAGACTTGGTTAAAAATACAGTTCTGGGCTCCTACCACTGGAGACTTAAAATCTATATAACTGAGGGCCTCACTTTAGGAAACTTTTAACCAGGTGGGATGGCACATGCTTTTAATCTCAGGACTTGGGGAGGCTGAGGCAGGAGGATGGCAAATTTGAGCCCAACCCTGGGCAGTTTAGGAAGGCCTGGTTTCAAAATTAAGTTTAATTCCCAATGCAAAATAAATAAAATTTAAAAGCCCTGTTTCAGGCCCTGCAGAGAAGTAATTGTAATTCCATAGCACAGATGAGGAGGAATCTGAGGCTCAGAGAATTTACTCCGAGATCCTGAAGTCAGCAACAGGGGACAGACCAAACTGTAACCCTTTCAGCCCCAGCTGTACCTGGTGTGTTGCATTTCTGCCACAATTTGCCACAAGTCTCTCCCACAGGTTATTTTCTGCTTCCATTTCCAGCCTGTTCCTTCAACGCTGTAGTTTATCCAGGGCACAGCAGACGCCTCCCTTCACTAGCAGGACTGGGAATCTTCCCAAAGCCACCCTCAGGGGAAGGGGCAGGGCTGGCCGCTGAAGGTGGCTGCTCCGCAGGTGCTGCTGGCCCTCTGTCTGTCCTGGATCCTCTGTTTCGCGCTCACCGTCACCGACACCCTCCCCTCGGACCCCACCGCCCACGGGTACCTGGCCCGCACCGACTCCAGAGGCAGTGTCCTGAGCCAGGCCCCTTGGTTTCGCTTCCCCTACCCAGGTAGGGGGCACACAGTGGCCCTTCTTGCTAGGGACAGCCCATGGGGCTCAGGGCACTGGCATTGATTAAGGGCTTCTGGAGGGTTTGACTAGGAGGGTCGGCCCCAGGAGGTCCGTCTCTGACTCGGGAGACACAGGAGGCCCCGGGTCGTTCTACAGACCCCTTGGGGTGGTAGATGGAAGGCTGTGATCCCAGACCCACCTCAGAGCTGGGCTACACCGGCCTCCGCGTCGCTCAGGACCCATTGTCTGGGAGTGGGTGGGAAAGGAAGACAGAGCCCTTGGCCTCCAACCAGACCTTCAGAATCTCCTGGGTTCTGTGGACCTCACAAAAGGGAGCCCAGCCTTCCCAGGACTCCCCTGGCAACCAAAGACTTGGGCTTCAGCAGCCTCTTCTGAGTGAACGTTGCCCTGGCCCTGCATTTTCAGGACAGTGGGGCCTCCCGACCATCAGCCTGGCGGGGGTCTTCGGGATCATCGCCGCGGTGATCTCCTCCATGGTGGAGTCGGTGGGCGATTACTACGCCTGTGCCCGGCTGGTGGGGGCCCCGCCCCCCCCGAAGCACGCCATCAACCGCGGCATCGGCATCGAGGGCCTCGGTTGTCTGCTGGCAGGGGCCTGGGGCACGGGGAATGGCACCACCTCCTACAGTGAGAACATCGGGGCACTGGGCGTCACCAGGGTAAGGCTTCCAGCTGTGCTCCTGGCCACAGGCTGGGCCCCGAATCTGCCACACTGTAACAAATCAGCACAGCCCGTATTTCTTGTCTCTCTAACGGGAGGTCAGATTTGGACTCGGGTCTCCTGGGGCTGTAGAGGAGGTGTCACCCGCTGTCCTCCTGCCTGTACGGAAGCTCTGCTGGTGGGGGCACTTGCTCACCTTTGCTTTGTTGGAGGCTGTGGTCCCTTCTGCCATCTTCCCTGCCTCATCTGGAAAGGACCTCTGCTTGCAAGGACCCACCCGGTCTTAACTCAGTCACATCTTAGAGTCCTTTTCCACTCAAAGCCATCTACAGTTTAGAGGTGAAGACAGATGTCTTTGTGCGGGCCACATTGTGCTTTCTGCATTTGCCCTCCTGGGCTGTGGCATTGCCGCACTGTCTTTCCTGACGTGGGCAGGCCAGGTGGCTTTCTGAATCCGGAGGAAAGGAAGTCTTTTATGAGAATTAGGCGGGGGGTCCACTACCTGGGCCCCAGCTGCATATTCAGTTGCACCCTGGCCACTGCCACCTGATGTCCCCAGGGTACTTTACCCCCACTGGCCTCTGTGGACCCAGGCAGTGCCCTGTCCTGACTTCTCCTACAGCCCTTTCTTAGCAAGTTCACCGCTCCCCCTGGTCACCCTTAACTGCTTACAACTTAACAACAGGTCAATTTAACAGGTCACCCTTAACTGTCTACAACTCCCTGGCTGGTTCTATTTTCTTAACATCACTCCTTCTGCAGCACCACAGCCCTTCCATCTCCTGCCTGGATCCTGCAGGGGTGCTGCATGTCCACTTTTGCCAGGACCTTGCCTATCTCAAATCCTCCTACCACACGCCTGCCCAAGGATCCTTCTAGCCTAATTCTGATCAGATTGGCCTCTGCCCTCACTCTCCGCACAGCCTCTCACTTTTGTCAGTAAGTTTCTAGAAGGTTAGTAAGAATTCTTTGGAATGGTGCTTGCTAAAGTGACTTAGGAAAGAATGATATTATTATGCCACTTTCTACAAGGTTCGTGTATCTCGGCAGTGGTTCCCAGCACAAGTCCTCTGAGCGTTGGAAGAACAAAGGCCCTGACCCCCATCCAACTTGCATGGTCCGATGGCTCTCTTGGCAGCTCTGCTGTGCAGCTGGTGACACTGCACCTTCCCAGCCTCAGGTCTGAGTAACCCCTGGCACATCTGGAGCCAAAATCCCTGTGCAGATGGCTGAGCGAGCCCCACCCCACACCCAGTTGTCCAAGGTCTCCAGGCGCCTCAGGGCTGCACGTGAGGGGAACATTTCTCCACAGGAAGGTCACAGACCCACACAGGAATATAGCAGGTGGCTCCCTAAGTATAATACAGCAACCATTTCCATTCCTGCTAACAGGAGCAAATCTCAAGCTAAACAGAACATTATATCAATAAACAAAAAATTTCTATGTACATTTTTCCTAAACTAAGGGCCTTTACAGGTGAGAAAGGGAAAGGAAAGACATGCAGGCAGGGAACAGGGTATAGTCAAGTAGGACATGTATCAGTTTTGAGGCACTGTTGGGCCCCTCACCTCCCCAGGGTGGCTCTTTGAGGTGTTGCTTTGGGTGGCACCTTCGCGAGGAAGAGCTCCCATCCAGAGAGCTACTGTCACTTCTCCAGGGTGCCGTGGCTTCCAGCCCAGAGGTCAGTCCTGGGGCCAAAGAGGCCCAGGGCTGTGTGGTGAGCGCACGTGGTAATAGGACTGGGGACTGACTGCCATCCTTGTAAGACCATTAACATGTCTAAAGGGCATTGGCTGAACCTGACAAAGCGATCTATTGTGCTTATGGCACACCCTTGTTTCCATAGTTAACTGTCAAGCTCCTAAACGAAACAAAACATTCTTTGGATGTGGTAAAAATTTCCAATACAGATAGTTAAATAAATAAGCTGTTAGGCCAAGGCCGGGTGTGGTGGCTCATGCCTGTAATACCAGCACTTGGGAGGCTGAGGCAGGAGGATCTCTGCAAGTTCGAGATCAGCCTGGGCTACACAGTGAGTTCCAGAGCAGTCTGAACTACATAGTGAGACCCTGTCTCAAAAAACCAAAAAACAAACCCCTAAAATAAATAAATAAGCTGTTAGGCCAAGGCCGGGTGTGGTGGCTCATGCCTGTAATACCAGCACTTGGGAGGCTGAGGCAGGAGGATCTCTGCAAGTTCGAGATCAGCCTGGGCTACACAGTGAGTTCCAGAGCAGTCTGAACTACATAGTGAGACCCTGTCTCAAAAAACCAAAAAACAAACCCCTAAAATAAATAAATAAGCTGTTAGGCCAGAGAGGGAAAAATAAACAAATATATAATCTACTTTTATTGCTGCATAGTTGACACTAGATTATCATTTCTAAAGATTTGATTGTGGTAAAAAGGACCAAACGTAAAACTTGATACCATATTAATTTTTAAGTATTATATTCATAGTGTTGGGAAACACATCCTCAGAACTTCATCATCTTGAAAAATTAAAACTACATTATGGTCTCCCTCTCTTCCTCTCCTCCCCTTTTTTATTTTGTGGTACTGGTGCTTGAACCCAGGGCCTTCACACTGTACTACATCCCCAGCCCCTTTTATTTTGTTTTATTTTTATTTTGAGACAGGCCCTGAGTTGCTCTGGCTGGACTTGAACTCAAAATCCTACTGCCTCAGCCTCCCAGAGTGCTGGGATCACAGGCATGCACCACCACACCCAGCTACATTATAGAATCTTTTATAGACACATATGAGTGAGAAACAGAGTCAAGAACTGTTTAAATACACGAATTGACTGTAGACTCCTTGCGAGGCATTAAATCAAGAGCATTTGCAGTATGGCCCTAACTCTGGAGAATGATACGCAGTGCCTCAAAGTCAGGGGTCACTTTTTTAAGACTGAAGTTTTCGTTTTCTAGGTGGTTTTGGTTTATGGCAAGATTGAGTGAGAAGTGAGGGACCCATTCTGCCACACTGGCATGGTCATCCTCCTGCACCCCTCAGCCCTCTTGATTTTCCCCACAGTGGCATGCGTGGTGGAATCACAGGGCAGAGTTCGTGTTAGGGTGTCCTCTGGAGGTGTGCACCCTGCAATGTTGGACGGTGTTTAACGATGCATATCCACTGTCACAGTGCCACCCAGAGGAGTTTCTAGTAGAAACTCAGAGGCCATTTTCACCTCACAGGGAGAGATTGTAACCCAGTCCCAGGAGCAGCAGTGGGCACCCAGCACTGGGCCCAGCTCTGCTGGGGTGGGTATGGACTGCGGTCCACAATCTCACACCAGGTGGGCTGTTTTTCGTTCTTTAAATCTTTGTAGAAACTTCATTTCATTTTACGATCTAAAAGCCACTGTAACAAAGTGACTGAAACTTATTTCTTCAGCATTCCAAAACTCCTAGCTCCCCAACAAACCCCACGCGTGCCCAGTGTGCTAATTAGGAGTGATTCCAACCAGGTCAAACGTCTTGAGAATCAACTGAAATGAAAGTTCAGGCTGCAGAGCAACAACGGACCCTTGTGGAAATGAACTTTTAAGGTGCTAGAGTGGGCCAGCTATGCTATGATACCAGGGTAAGGGGCCATCCCAGGCTTCTGTGCTAAACGAGCCTGCACAAAGTGAAGCGGAAGCCTTAGGTCATGACCTAAAACCTAAGACCATGACCTGTTGAGAAAATCTACTATTGTCCTATCAGAGAAAATGTATTGATTAATAGTAATGAAATGACTTTTATGGGGGAGATTTTTATTTTTTGAAACAGGGTCTCTCTGTATAATCCGGGCTGGCCTTGAACTCACTATATAGTCCAGTCTGGCCTCGAACTCGTGGCCATCTTCCTGCTTCAGCCTCTCAAGTGCTAGGACTACAGGAATGTGCCAACACGCCTGGCTCTCACAAGGGAGGTTTTTAAAATGAAAGTCACATCATGTCACCACCTTGCTTAAAAACCATCTATTGGAGATTTTTCTTGTCTTTGGATTTTTTACTTCATACACACACACACACACACACACACACATACACACACACATATATCATGTATGTATTTTATTGTGGTCACATATACAGACTTAAATTTGTCCTCTCAGTCATCTCTAAATGCACATCGTGGTAGTGTTAAGGGAAGTCACATTCTTGTCAGCCATCAGCACCCCCTGCCCCAGGACTCTTCTTGTCCTGCAGCACTGAACCTCTGACCTGCTAAACGACTGCCCAGTCCCTCCTGCCCCATGCCCGGGCAGCCGCCACCCCACCTCTGTCTCTATGAACTCAACTCCTGCCTGGGAACCTTGCCTAGTAGAGTCACTGCCACTGCTGGTCTTGCTTTGTGACCACCTGTTTCACTCAACATTGTGTGAGATCTTCCAGGTTGTAGCCAGTGTCCGAGTTTCCTTTATGTGGCCAAATAGCACCTTACCGTACTCATAGACCACATTTTTGCTCAAGCATTCTCCTTTGACTTTATTCTGACTCTTTCCCTGGGCCCCCAAGGCCCTGCAGGACGGAGCCCAGGCTTTGTTCTGAGTTCTCCCCTCTTCTCCGCAGGTCACTGTGGCTCAAGCACACGATTTTCCCTTTGATCTCAAGTCACCACAGAGTCAGCACTTAGTGTTTCTCTGTAGAACGCTTTTCCACCAAATCTTCAAGTGCGCCCGCGCCTCTTCCTCTTCCCTTGGGTCCCAGCTGAATGCTGTCCTCCGAATGGGCCACCACTGACCACCTTCCGTACAGCCCTCAGCCCCAGAACCCCAGACCCTGTGATCAGTGACTGTCCCTGTCACCTTGTGACTGTCTTCAGCAATACCCTATATTGCTATTAGAAATTAGCTACTTTATTTACTAGATCTCTGGCTTGGTATCTGCCCCTCCCCAAGACTTACAAAGTAACAGGTACCACGGAAATGGATATGAGTAAACTGGCCAGTGATAGGCCATTGACAGAACCCTGGAGACAGAGGGCCAAACTGACAGAGGAAACCTGGGGTTACTGTGCGTGGTTCCTGTGTGGCCTTGCATTCCTCTCTCCCATCTTTGAGCCTTGGCTTTCTGGTCTACAGAAGGAGAAGTCTGACTGAGCCCTCTTCTTGGTTTCCTTCCTGCCCTGGCCTCCTGTGATGCACGAAGCATGGCGCTACCTCAACACATAAGCTTCTTAGGGGAGGAGAGGGCAGAGGCTGGGCCCCAGGACCATGCTCTCAGCCTTTCCCAAATCCAGTTGGGAGCAGAAGGATTTGGGGATTATGTGGCTTTATTCCCACAAAGGCACCTCCCCGTCCCCTCTCCCTGGGTGCTGCAGGTGGGGAGCAGGAGGGTGATTGTTGTCGCAGGCTGCGTGCTGCTCCTGATGGGTGTCTTTGGGAAGATCGGGGCTGCTTTTGCGACCATCCCAACCCCTGTGATCGGAGGCTTGTTCCTCGTCATGTTTGGGGTCATCAGCGCCGTGGGGATCTCCAATCTGCAGGTGAGGGGGTAAGGCACCCTTGGAAAGGCAGCAGCGTTGCCCCTCGTGAGAGGAGCCCACAGGACTGAGGAGAATATGGGTTGGGGGGGGCCAGAGGAAGAGACAGGGGAGGTGGAGAATGGGAGATCCTTCATCCTGGAAGCCAAACTGGCCTCCAAATAGAAGAAGTAAATGGCCAAAAGCCCCTGAGCGCTGTAGTCAGCCATGGTGTCCGTGTGCGAGCGCCTGGCCTTTTTCCTGCAGTATGTGAACATGAACTCGTCCAGGAACCTCTTCATCTTTGGCTTTTCCATCTCCTGTGGGATGGCCATTCCCAGCTGGGTGAACAGGAATCCTGAGAAGCTGCAGACAGGTGACTGCTCTCCGTCCTCCCGTCACCGTGGTGGGTGTGAGCGGCGAGGCCCTTGGGCCCTGGGAACTGGTCACTTGTGTCTCACTCTAGGGATTCTCCAGCTGGACCAGATCATCCAGGTGTTGCTCACCACAGGCATGTTCATCGGGGGATTTCTGGGCTTTCTTCTGGACAACACCATTCCAGGTAGGTCCAACCCATGAGCTGGAAGATGGGCAGCATTTGGGCCACCAGCTGTGACAGGGTGGTCCCAGCACACTCCAAGTGAGGTGGGGGTGATGAAGGCCTTTGCTATAACAAAATATCACAGATTCGCGGATGGGGGTGGCTTAAACAACAGGAAAGGGAGCTAGAGATCCAGGTGTGAGCTGGCTTGCCTTCTCCTGAGGGCTCGCCTGGGCTTGCAGATGCCACCTTCTGACTATGTCCCCAAGTGACCTTTCCTCTGAGTACGGCATTCCTGGTGTCTTTCTGGGTCCTCATCTCCACATTTTATAAAGATGCCGTGCATATTGGATTAGGGCCCATCTGGAAGGCCTCGTTGCAAATTAATTACCTCTTTAAAGCCCCTGTCTCCAATTCTGGGATACTGGGAATTAGAGTTTCAACATATGAATTTTAAGGAGACATAGATCAGTCCGTAGCAAAGCCCTAAAACAGGAGCTACACCAGCAACAGAAGGAAAAAGACTCAGCCTGGATCTCTTAAAGCCTGCAATCTAATTGCTGAGGGAGACCACACACATATTCCTTCCTTCATTCATATCTTTATGGTGAGCAAACTGGGGGTACAGGGTAGACAGTGAAGGGCGCAGAGGGTCAGTCCAGAGTGACTTCTGGAAGGTGTGGCCAGGTCTCTCTCATCTGTCTGCCCTCGGCCTCTCCTGAGGATCCTTGTGGCCACACCTGCTTCGTGGTGTTCCATTTGCCATGCCACTACTTGCTGCCAAATGTGAAGTGCATCTGTGCCCACAACCATTAGGATGCAGTGGAGGCCAGCTCTGTGTTTCCTACTTGGCCATGCAGGGTGAGGGACTCCTGGGTACCTGAAGAGTAGGAGCTTAGAGCAGCCCTGAAGAGAGGCTGAGGTGTGGTTTTTAGGGTGGACTTGGAGGAAGAGGAGGTGGAGCGGGAGGGATGAGGAGAGAGAGGGAGTGGGCATGTGTGGGGGTCAGTGGCAGGTGTGCTGCGGGTCTTGACTTCTGCTGTCCCCCATCAGGAAGCCAGGAGGAGCGAGGCCTGCTGGCCTGGGCTCAGATCCACAAGGAGTCTGGGGACACACTGCAGGCTGCAGAGGTCTACAGCTTGCCCTGGGGTGCTGGCACTCGGCTCTGCACTTGCCCCTGTGCCTGCACACTGCCCTTCTGGCCTGGGCCGGACCGAAGAGGACACCAGCCAAGTTGCCCTTTGCCCCTGGACACCATTAGCAGAGCCCCTGCAGGGTGTTCTGGAGACCAGTATCGGAGGACAGCTGGGCCCCCACACCAGGCTGCCCTCGAGGATTGATCCAGGTCACGCCTGGGGCCCTAGACCACCACGGGCCATAGCGCATCCTTCCACTGCTCTCCCAACTCCAGCTTGGACCAGCTTGCTGGGATCCAGTAGGACTCTGCTTTTCCATCGTGCAGCACTGTGATTGGTCAGAAGGCGGAGGAGGCAGGGGAGGGGCTGTTTGCTGAAAAGCGACACAAAGCAAATCTCTTTTCCAAAGAGGTGGCAGGGCCCTGTGGCCTCCTAATCCCTCCACTGAAGCTTGTGTTTGGCAGCGTGTAGAGCACTCTGACTGTCCTGCACCTCCTCCCAGTTTCTGGGGAGCCAGTGCCTCCCAGCTTGTTGAGGCAGGACAGTGGTTTAGCTCTGTTCTGCCTGTGGCTCCATATCGTCCCACTTCTCTTTTGCCTCCCCTCCAGGAGTGAATGGGACCTGGGTGTCCCAGGGCCATGGGGTGATGGCTACCAGACCCCTTCCAGTAGGACGAGGGTAACCAGGTCGAGGGAGCCAAGTTCTGGAGTGGCACCCAGGGGTGCAGTGAGATGGGAGGGAAGGCCTGAGGCTCACCCTGGGGCATCTCCACTTTTCTTCTGTTGCTGCCCCATGATGGCTTGCAGCTCTTCAGGCTACCTCAGGCACCCACAGCTGCCCTAGGAGATGGTTGCTTTGGCTGTGGCAGGATTCGTATGAGAACATGTTCCAGACGGTGACTCTGCCCCTCTGCAGCCCTCCTTGGTCAGGTCCATGAGAAGTCCCACCCCTCCCCACCACTAAACAAAGTCTGATGCTGCACAAGAAGAGCTCGCCCACCTCATTTCTTTCATAAACAACCCCATACCCTTGGCAGATTCAGCCTGTGTGCTGTTCCCCTTTGTGCCGCAGCACAATTTCTAATAAAGCCTCTTTCTGTATGGCATATTCTTGCCTATCATAACTTCTATCTTGAGTACAGCATGCTGAGCCAGTACAAAGAGCTGGTAACAGCAGAAGCCACTGGCTCTGAAAGTGGCCAGTAGCCTGAGCTGGTGACACTGAAGCAGGCCAACAACAGAGGATGACAAGAAATGATGGAGAATGGTCGGCAGCTGCCGCCTCAGGGGCCAGAAGAGTTCCTGTAACAGTCTAACTCAAAACAGGCGATGAAACTTATTGGCTCTTGGAAATGGAGGGAAGGAGCCAGGTAATGACAAGAATCATAGGAGGAATCCAGGGAACTAGGGCCCGAAGGATAGCAATTGAGATCCCGCGGCCCCTCTCCCAGCTGCACACACATTCACCCTCCACGCCCGATCACGGCTTCTGCCCGCCCACTGGCCCCATTCCCGCCCACTGCAGTGAGGGTAACGGCCACAGGCCACCCAAGTGTGCAGCTGCCGCTGTGACTGCAAAGACGAAAGGGCATCCTCCTTCCCCACTGGCTCCAGACACATCCAGGGGAACTATGCGGAGAAGCTTTGGCAGTACTGAGTTTGAAGACCATTTATCTCCTCTCCGGTTCCTGCAGTGATTTCCGGTAACTGCCCTGACTAGTTACCACACACCGAGAGGTATGAAAGAGCACAGATTCTAACATTCCTGAAGGTCAGGAGTCTGCGGTGAGTGTTGCAGGGCTAAATTGGAGGTGTAAGCTGCACTCCTCCCTTCTAGCAGCCCTAGGGAGAATCTCTTCCTGCCTTTTCCAGCTCAGACCTGTGTTCCTTGGCCTGTGGCTGCTTTCCCATCTTCAAAGCACAAATAACACTCTGGCCTCTGATTTGTTGTCCTACTCCTGTCCCTTTGACCTTCAGCCTCCTTTCATTTTATACTTGTGATTGCATTTAGGGTCTGTCCAGTTAATCCTGGATAACCACCTCCCCTCAAGGTCCCTAAGTAGTCTCATCTGCAGAATCACCTATAAGGTGACAGTCAAGACTTTGGTGATTAGGACATATCTGTTTAGTCCCCAAATAAACACATTCAGTTCCTAAATACAATCCTGCATTAGTCGCAGTCTTAGTCCATTTAGTTATTATAATGAAAGACACTAATCCCAGTGGTTTGCAAACAGAAATTTATTTCCCATAGTTCGGGAGGGTCAGAAGTCCAGGATCGAGGTGTTGACAGATTTGGTGTAGGTCAGGGCTGCTTCTTTGCTGATGAGTTCTCACTGACACTGCAGAAGGAGGGAGAGTTCTCTCTGGGGCCACTTTTATAAGAGTGTTAATCTAATTCCTGGCCACTCCAAAGCCTCCTAAAAGTCCCTCCTTCTCTTACCATCACCCTAGGGGCTATAGGAACATTCAGACGTCAGTATTACTGCGTGGCAGCTGTTCCTGAAGAACAAGTCTGACGCTCCTCTCCATTCTGGGAAGTTGATATGCACAGAGACCCACAGAGGCTCCTGTATGTGTGTCCTGGTGAAGCCCACTCAGCTCCTACTGGGAATGGGTTTCCTGGCCAAGAATCACTTCCACACTTCTAGATCCATGCCAGAGGCCCTGTTATTCTTGAATCCATGGACAGTGTCCTCCTTGCAGAACCCTTAGCTGGTGGAAAGTTGCACTTCCTTTTTTGTTTTGTTTTTGGCACCATTTGCTGGCAAAGTTTCTGAGCTACTTCTGCTCTTTAGAAAAATGTTCTCATTCCCAATGCAAGGACTTTATGTTTTAGAATGCACCAAAGCTGTTCATTCTTAGAAGACATTTTGCAGTCAGCTTACAAAAACTTGATAATTTTTAAAAATTGAGTTTATTGGTACATTTTAGGTATGCAGTACAGTTACAGTCATTATTGGGACCTTGTACCTTTACATGACAGGTCTTGGTTCTCATTTTTTCCCCTTGTCCCTGCCCTCCCTTCACCCCCTCTTCCCCTTCCCCTTTACAAACACTTTACTTTCATTTTTTCATTTTCTCATATTTTTTTCTTTTCCCTTATTCCCTTTCCCCTACCCTTCCCACTTTCCGTACACCTTTAGCTCTTTTCTTCCTATTTCACACTGTCAATTATCTCATTAGGATCTTATATACTATTATAATTTTTCACACCAGAGAGACTATTCGGTATTTACACATGTGTGACTTATTTATTTCACTTAGGAGTATATCCTCAATATGAATCCATTTTCCTATGAATGAATCTAGAGGGATGGCTGGGCCAAATGGAACCTCTTGATATTTATTTTTATGTAATCAGTGTTGTTCTGCAAAAACATGTTCTTGTCATCTAGTTAGATAATACACTCCAGCAGGGTATAATGCCCACCCAAAGCTGACTAACGAAAGTTCCTTTCACACATGGAGGAGTGGGGAAGAGTGTTAATTCCAGATCCTACAGGTCATCTCCACTTTACTTGTGCTTTGGCCCTCACACCATCAGATTTTTCCACCCTTGTCCCTTTTTGTTGTTAGCAACCACAGACCACCTCTCCTTCCCCCAGGAACCCGGGCCCTTCACACTGAGCTACATCCCCAGCTGCTTTTATTTTGATAGGGCCTCACTAAGCTGTGCAGGCTGGGTTCCTGCTTGGGATCCTCCTGCCTCACCTCCCAAAGTTTTGGGATTATAGGCATGCTCTACAACACCCAGCTTGGGGAGGCATTTTATAGATGTGGTTAACACAATCAGCTGGCTTTAAATTAGGGGATCGCCGTTGGCAGTGTGGGTGAACTTATCGGATTAGTTGAAGGCCACAGAGTAGAACTGGGGGACGGGGGAGAAGAAATTCTGCCTGAATGCATCAGCAGCAGGAGCTCCTGCCTGCTGGTCTGCTCTACAGATTTTCTTCAGACTTCTGTCCTCATAGCCATGTGTACCATTTCCACTGAGAAAATCTGTTGTTTCTCTGTCTTACTGGTCTGTTTTTCTACAGAACCCTGATTTGTGTAGCACTGGCTGATATAGAAAGTATAACAGTCAGAAGAAACTGGCAGACAGGCAACAGAGGTGGGAAGAGTCCTTGGGGGCAGGGGAACACAAGTACCATGAAGGGGATTTTATGCAGTAAGTCTATCCTGGTCTGCAGCCATATCCTAAGGCTTGCAGGGTAGGGGGAGGCAGAGGGCTGCTGGATCTAAGGACCAGTGGTGGGGCCATAGGAAGAAGGGACTTCCCAGCATTCTGCGGAGGTCCCCTCTGCCCAAGGGCCTCTGGCACATTCTGCTGCAGGACAGAGCCACAGCCTTAGATGAAGCAAGACCAAGTGCAAGAGGGAGGGGCTGGCCAGATGGGAGGGAGAGTGCTCAGATGCCTAGAGCCCATTGCGAAGACTCCTGCTTTCATCCTGGCTTCCTGAATCTCTGGAGGCGGCTGACCTAAGCACTTCCTTTTTCCTGTCTTTCCAACACATGTTCAGGCAATCCCAGAATGCCTTGCTGCCCAGCTACATGGAAAGTCCCCATTCACCCCCTTGATTTGGTCATTTGCAACTGGGAGATGCTGTCATCAGGACTTGCACACTGTCAGGAGGTGGGTGAGCCCATCCTCTCAGCACAGCCAGTGTTGTAAGTCAGGGCCCATTGCAGAGACAGAACTAATAGAATGTGTGTTTCCGTGTCTTTGCACACACAGAGGACATTTATTCTAAGGAAAAGGTTCAGGCTACTGTGGGACCCCAAATCCACCACCAGGCTGGAGAAGTTGCAGTTGAGCACAAAGGTTGTCTGTTGGCGAATTCTTTTTCTCTAGGGAGGTCAGTCTTTCTCTGCTGAGGCCTTTAACTGATTAATACATTATAGAGGGTTTACTCTCTGGTTTACTCCAAGGCTACTGACTTAAATGGTAATCTTATCTAAAAAGTACTTTCACAGAAACATCTGGCATAATGTTTGACTGAATATCTGGGGACCATGGTGTAGGGAAGTTGACACAGAATTCACCCTGACCCCCAGGGTGCAGGCCCAGCAATGTTTACGCACCCTTCGTCCGAGGCCACACCATGAAGCACTCAGATCACGGGGACCCTAGCGCAGCACCCTTTCAGGTGTCTGAACAGAAGTAGCTGATGCACCTGGCTCCACCCTGTGGTCCTATGGCACAGGGGTGAGGTGAGCACCATTTCCAGACTCCGAGAGCAGGCAGGATGTACGACTGGGCTCCAGAACACTGTAGAACCCATCACAGCAATGCTCTGAGTCTGGGATGGGCTAAAAGGACCTGGTGTTTGCTCACCTACAGGGGAAGATGCCCACCCTCTTCTTGGAAAGCCCACGGCTTGAGACTCAGCTGTACCCAGTACCCCAAGAACAAGTCCAAGTGCATGTGTGCCCTGCAGCAGGTCGGCCCCTTCTATCAAACAACTCTAAAGACTGACATAAGGCCACACTTCTCTTAAACTTTATAATAATCTTTTAAACTTTTAAAACTTTTTAATACTCAGAAACTAAAAGCACCAAATGTATAGTCTGTGCCAAAGAGTCCCAGAAGGCCGTGGCAGGTAAAACTGTTCCCAGCATTAAAACTTGCAAACTGTGCCTCTCCTCTGGCCCCTTCCCCGTCACAAATCCTGCATCACAAATCCTCATCGTCGAATGTCTCTAGGCACCTCAGCAGCAGCATCTCATCATCAACAGGAACAGGGGCCAGTTCCTGCAAAACACGTGGAAGAAGTCAGAATTCAGATGTAAGTGTTCCAGGCAGGCAGGAATGGCCCAGCAGCTTGGGGCACTCAACTCTTCCAGTCTCCACAACTTTCACCTCTAGCTTCCAGCCAGGGAAGAATGGGGATGGTTGGTACACACAGCACTCTGTGACCTCCAGAAAGGATCTAGTAGAACTGGCTTCTTTCCTACCTGGAAATTCACAGGATCCCATAAGGGGGGGTCTTAGTTTTAGCCAAGTGCCCATGGGTAAAAGACAGTGAACTAACTACACCGTGGGACACTCACCAGTGAACATCAGGCAGCTGTTTTTATAAAAGGAGTGAGATAGCTTTCTATCTCTGGGGTAGATGACTAATACGAAAAGGGCAAAGCGTGTATACAGTAGGCCCTACTTGTGTATATAAAGAAATACACCACCCTCGGATAGATGTGTAAGAAACAGGCCATGGTAATTGTCCCTGGGGGAGGGAATGGAGCAGTAAGTGAGGAGCAATGGTGGAAGGAGGCTGTTTGTGGGGTTTTGTTTGTTTGTTTGTTTGTTGTTTGTTTTTGGTACCAGGGATCAAACTCAGAAGAGGCTGTTTTTATTGGATATCTTTTGCTAATATTTAGATTGTATACCACATACATGAGTTGCCTATGAACAGATTTTTTAAAAAGTAACTACCATATTGCTGAATAGTGACCCCAGCCCACCTTTCAGGATTCCCACCCCTTCCTCTGAAAGAGTGTTGCTGGGTTTTTGCTTTTCTTGTCTTGCTCCGCCCCAGCAGAAAATCACTCCTGACATGGGTGATTCCCTTGGGAAGTACCCCAGGCAAACATCTGATGAAAGCAGGACCAAGGGTGACCTCTAGGTGGAGAGATGAACTCTGCTGACCAAGCCTGCCTGCTCAGGAGAAGCACTTCCTACTCCCTGTGCTTTCCTGACTGGGATGGGAATGGGGATCAGGAGTATAATATGGGTGAGGGCATGGCTCAGTGCATGCATGAGGCCTCATTCCCCTCCTCAACATCTCAAAACAAGTATCAGATGTGGGATCAGGTGGTTTCCAGGGAAATCACATGGGCCTCTTGTTCAGGGTATAGACAGTAGCAAAGACTGAGAAAAGAGGTGCTCAAAGCATAAGGCAGTCCAAAGGAGGTAGCATCCCAGAGTAAAACAAACCCTAGTCTCTGTCACACAAGTACTTGAATGTTGTTTGCAACGTTCTATTTCCTCATGCCCTGAAAATGGTGTTAAATGGGAAATCGATAGGCTAGGAGAGACATTTGCTGTATGATATTGGTTGCTGAAGTGTATTCAACAGGGTCCCCCGCCAAATTTATGTTCCCTTGTAAAATCATTTGGCAATTCTCTGCAGATGTCATTAGTTAATGGTCTCACAATGAGACTGCCCTGGATTTAGGGTGGGCCCTAAATACAAATGACTGGGACAAAGAGTCACACAGGTGAAGGACATGTGGAGACACAGGGATGTGCTGGAGGACAGGGGATGCTAAGGATTGCCAGAAAGTCCCAGAAGCCAGGAAAACACATGGAAGCATTTCCCCGCTGATGCTTGCAGAGCCTGTACAGCCCTGGCAATATCTTAATTTCAGACTTCTGGCCCCCGGAAGTCGGAAGGGAATTGCTGTTGTTTGTGGTCATTTGTTAAAGCAGTCCTAGGAAGCCAACACAGGTGCTAATTTTTATCACACCATCTCCCATAGAGCTGATGGGGTGGCAGTGAGTTGGAGATGAAATGGGAAAGAGAATGAAAACTTCCTTCTTCCCACAAGAGTCTATGAGAGCTAAGCCTCCTGCCCCAGAACTATCTGGACCGTCTGTTCAAGACTAATCGCAGGATTCCATGCTTATACACTGAGTGAGGATCTTGTAACATCAAGAATCTGGGTGACTTCTGGGAATGCTGTAGTTTAAGGCCCCAGGCTTTATGTGAACACCAATCTCTGCATGTTCGTTGTTCTCAGCCGTATGTGGAAGAAAGGAAGAGGTGAAAGCAAAAGTTGCCCCTTTAACCGGTTTTCCACTGATAAAGTGGACAAATAAAGCTGATTCTGACAAAAAGAGAGGGGCCACATGCTACAGGGTTGTCATCCCCAGATTGGTGGGAGGTGGAGATTGAACTACAGGGGCAGGTGTTGACCGCAGTGGGGATTCAAAGTGGTCTCAGCCAGGGGAAATGAAGAATTAGTGGGCAAAGGGCTAGACCTTGGTCTATTGAAAAATTGTTCTAATTGTTTTTAGATGAACATTTTCCACTTTACAGTTTACCCTTTAAAAACTGGTTGTAGTTTTACTAAATCATCATCAGAGAAAATTCATGATGTGCTGCAAACCTGAAAGGGCCTCCCTGCTGCTGGCTAAGGTACTTGTACCTTAGGAGCTTCAGGAACTGACTTCTCAGTCAAGACACCCACAGTTGTGTCATCCTGAGCTGCAGTGTCAGCTTTTGGGAGCAGAAGTTATCCTTCAAAAGCTCACCCCAAATATTCCCACAGGGTCTCAGAAGATGATGAAACAGCTCAGCTTTCTGGTAAGATGTTGCCAAACATTTACAAATGCCCCTGGGATCTGCTCTTTGCTTCAAAGGGCTCCCAGTTAAAACCTTCCCCAGGGGACATCCTTCTGCCTCTTTCCTCAGTATCCCTGGTGCCTTCCGTTCCACAAGAGGCGTTAGGCTGATGTTGACCACCCACAGAGCAGGCCAGAAAGATGAAAGGTCTGCCTAGTGCCTCTCATGGTGTAGTGAGGGCGAGGGCTGCCAGGGACCTCAACAGCCCTTTCTGGCATCCTAAAGTGGGTGGGAAGAGGTCCCCCTGCACTCTTTCTATCCTACCTGTTTTAATTGAGTGTCAATGCAGGAGAGGCCCTTTAAAAAATCGATGACATGAAGGTAGAACTGCAACTTCTTATCTGAGTTTTCTGGATTGAAGCCGGCAAACACTGAACTGGCAACAGAAAAAGAAGAGTCAGAAAGTATGTAGTACCCTAACCATTCACCTCTGCTTGCTGCCACCCCTCCACCTCCCAAATGTTTGGACTACAATATGAGTTGAGCACTTCTGGATGTCTGGTGGAATTCCTGGACAGCAGGGTTCTTCCTGAGAGGTCTGTGCTGCCTCTGTTCCCGTGTCCTGTCTGGAACTCTTGGAGAGAGTGAGACTGTGGTGAGACTGGCTCTTGTACCCTTAGGGTTCTACAATGTGGCCTCCAACACAAGAGAGCAAGATCTCCTCGAGTTCTGGGGCCACAGCAGTGCTCCCTGCTCTGGTTCCACCTGCAGCTCCGTGGAGGCGAGGAAGCACACTGCGCAGTCAGAGTTCAGGCCCATGGGTAGCTCCACTCAGTGTGTCCAATATGGAGCTCAGGCCCTGGTGCAGAAAGGAGGCTGGTGTTGCAGGCTCCTTCCTCATCATGTTACAGGGAAGTAGCTGAGTGCGACTGGGGCCTCAAAGCATAGCACTGTGGGCCATGGAGGGCAGCTGACCATTTATACCCGCTTTCTCCTGGGATAAGGTTCCCACAGCCAGCCTAGGAACCTCCCAGCAGCATCCGCTTCCTTTTCTAGGGAGAACAGGAAAAGAATTTTTAATAGGTTGTTTTGGCTCTACCAGCTGGGTAGGGAGTTCCAAATACTGCTTAGCAAGTGCACACTGGCAACTCTAATCCAAGTTGTGTTTGCAGCCTAAGCCCAGTGCAGAAGTAGGGATGCCGGCTGCCAGCCAGATGCAGCAAAATTATACTGTGTACAGTTGAGAGAAGCATGAGATGGCTCCGGAGAGGACACAGGGCTCCTCTGTTGATCCCAGGGCTCCCCAAGTCTGGCTAGGCCTGGGTGAGGCAAGGAGTCTGGGCTGCCTGAAGCTCTGCTTGAAGTCATCCAGGCCTCTGTGACCACATCTTCAGGGTGACCCAAAAGCCACACTCCCATGGATGACATCAGAGTCACTTGGATCCCAAGGATGTGAATGTCACTCTTACTCCCAAGGCAGAGACACTAAATGTTCAGGCTTCTTTTCAGCCCGGACATCAGTATAATATCAGCTCAGGAGGTTGCAGGTTTTCAAGGATCAGCCAGGAAATTCCCATCCTAGGCTGGCTTTTCAGAGGACATGCTCCTGGGGTACAGGCTTGGTCCAACTGCTTCTTGTTTTAAATCTCAGATTCTGTTTTATGTCATCTTGCCTCATGAGTCAGCCACCCTCCCTCTGTGCCTTCCACACCCATTCCCATAGGCACTGTGGAGGCAGCTTTCCTCCATGGGGTGGCTCAGAGTCTCCGTTAGGCAAGTGGCACAGGCCCATTTCCATGTTGGTCCAGGTTCTCCATGTTCCAGAGCCCCCTGCCCTCTTCTGCCTGACCAACAGCTAAGACTGGCCTATGGGCTGCCTGATCCAGCTGCTACAGACTGAGTGTTTGTGTCTTCCCAGCTCCCAAGTGATGGCATTAGGAGGTGGATTGATTAACCCTTTACAAAAGAGGCCCCAGAGAGATCTTGTTATACTGAGAAAGTGCCACCTACCAGACTCTGAATTTGCTGGCACCTTAATCTTGAGCTGTGATCAAGAGATGTCTGTTGTTTATCTGCCCACCTGGTTGGTGATATTTTCTTTTCTTTTTTTTCTTTTTTTGACACAGGGTCTCACTATGTAGTGAAGACTGACCTGGAACTCACTATGTAGCCCAGGCTGGTCTCGAACTCACAGCGATCCTCCTGCCTCAGCCTCCCGAGTGCTGGGATAACAGGCGTGAGCCACCACACTAGGCAAGGTTGGAGATATTTTCTATAACAGCAGATTTAACAGCACAGCAGTAGCAGCTCTATGCAGGGATAAGCAAGACCAAGATACACTTGGAAAACTGGGGGGGGGGCGGGCAAAAAGAACATATGCCACCACCTTGAGCTGATTACCCAGGCCAGGATAGAAGAATTTTCTCCTCTGAGGGTATCCCCAGCAATATCATCCCCTGGGAGATGGCACAATCCTAGCACCAGCCCACTTCCATTCACAGAAAAATGTGGATCCCTAAGAATTTCCAATTACATGCCCATCCAGGGACTGCAGAAGGCAGGCTGCAAAATGCTTCTGTGAGAGTACACACACACACACACACACACAACATCACACCTACCCTCATATTTGCTTGTGCTCACTTGCACATTCCTGCTGCCTTCCTCACCTGGGGTTAGATGTACTTGGAATTTCTCTTTTGTCAAGGAAACTTGCCACATCGAAGGAATCTTCAAAAAGGACCTGGAAGAAAACATAGAACTTCATGTGTCAGAAACAATTTAGTAGTTTGAGGCTTGTTCAAGGCTGCTGGGACAGAGAGAAGTAGAAAGGCTCCTGCTCTGTACACTGAGTCTGAGAGGACATGAATGTCAAAGCCGGGCCCAAAAGCAGCATCTGTGCTTGGGGATCTTCCCATGTGGTAGCAACAGTCTTCCAAGGCTCTGCTAACCCCAGAAGAGCTGTGGTTGGCCTGCTTCTATCACAGCACAAGATGACTTCTAACAATACCCAAAACTCTACAGGCCACAGCTGCTCTCACTACTCAACAGCTGAGAAATGCATGGATAGTGACACTGGTTGTTTCCTCTTTATCGAGTTACTACAATGCTCTTTGGGATGGAAACTGGCTGCCTCTCAAGGACTGGGCCAGAGTGGTCCTCAGGTAATCCTCTCTGGATTACCAATCACTGGTTTAGTAAAATGGTAATCTAGCCAATCCTGGCCAATGAAAGTGAAGGAGATGTATGGTGGAAGTTTCTAGAAAGTCTTTCCTTGAAAAAGAGCCTTCACAATCACCCCTCCTGTCTCTACGTGGTGAAAAGGAGGCTTGATTGCTGCAGGGAAGGCTGAGAAACCGGCCCTAAAATGAAGCAAGGAAGAGAGAAGGGTGAAACGCAATCTGGGGACATCACTGAGCAACTGGACTGACCTGGACTTCCCTGGATGAGAAGTTTAATAATCAAGTCAGTGGTAGCCAAAAGTCCCACGATACACCTTGGCTCCCACAGTGCCATGGAAAGCCCAGGTTTCTGACAAGTGAAGAGGAAGTGCAGTCTGGTGGTCACGGAGATGATGTCGAGAAATTCAGAAGCCTATGTGTGACCCAATTCCAAATGGCCCCTCAAACTCACTAAATGACCCTAGCAAACCTCGTGATCAGGGCCAAGGGTGACAGAATTGTTTCTGGGTCCTCTGGGTCACCCCACAGGGTCTGCTCACCTCTTCCGGGGTGGAGGCCAGTGAGCAGCTTGCTCCTTGGCTGTCCACACCGCTGTCCTTCATGCTGTCCTCAACACATGCCTGCTGTGGGCTAGTGCCCAGGCCCAGGAGGCCGCTGTGCTGCTGGGTCCAGGCCTGCAGGATGCTGGCCTTCCAGTCCTCAGACAGTGTCTGCCACAGGTGGGAGATGGCTGCTGAGACAATGGGCTGTGACGCCATCTGTGAGGAGATGATGCCGTTCTCAATTAGCAGGTCCATTGTCAGCTTGTAGAAGTTGAGGTACCTGGAACAGAAGTGGCACCAGCTCTCAGGATTCAGTTCATGGCCATGCCCCCTGTGGATTCCAGTGGACCAGCCTTAAAGCTCTGTGGCCTTTGACTCTCAGAGGGCAGAAGCCACCTTGAGGACCATGAAGAACCTAGGTTTGAGTGTAAGAGATTCTGCAGTGGCTGGCTCAGCTGTCCTCCTGTAGGAAAATGCCATGCAATTCTGTGCCATAAGTGCACCTTCCTGTTAGGACTGCTTCTTTAACGCAGGGCTGTGGGCCAGGCTCAGGGAGGGACTGGGTTCCTTCCTATTGGGCCAAGGCCTTCATAAGCCACATGGCTGTTGAGGGCCTTGAGTCCGTGGAGAAAGCAGTGGCAAAGGAAGCCATTCACCTTCCTTCCTCCTTCCCACCCTCTGCCGTTGTCCCCCATATCTTCCTTCCTTCCATTCCTTCCTTCCCTCCCTCTTTCCTTCCTTCCCCTACCTTTCTTGTACTGGGGATTGAACACAAGGCCTTTGTGCTGAGCACTGGTCTTCTTTTATTTTTATTGTGATACAAGGTCTCACTCAGTTACTCAGGCTGGGCTTGAGCTTATAACCCTGCTGCCTCAGTCTCCCAGGATGCTGGGATTACAGCCATGCACCGTCACACCTGACTCTGTCTTCCTTTCTATAAGACCAGCTGTGACACTCAACTTGTGGAGCTTAAGCGGTGGTAGTAGACAGAGGCTTAATCCTTGTAACACAATCAACACCCACATCCACCCCAAATAAACATCCAGTCTAAATAGAAATAGTGTTTTTGCTGTGTTTTGCAGCTTGGAGACTCTGTGTCTAGACCTGCAGCTGACCCCATCCTGAGTCTCTCCTGTGGAAACTGAAGAATGTCCAGGACTCAGCGCCTGCTCAGGTCATGTATGGAAGCTACGGAGGTCACAGCTGTAACCTGTGTCCCGTCCCCACAGGAGCTCCTCCGGTGCACAAAACCACCCCGCCCAGCTGTTCACACCGCTCAAATTCCAGGAGGTCTGGTGATGAAGTGCTTAGGGAGGGTAGGAGATCCACTTTTTTCTTCTCCTCTTCCTGTGCCTCTTGGTTTTCCTCTTCCTCTACTTCAACTTCTTCCTCTTCTACATCCTTCTTGACTGCCTCAGTTGGGTAGCCGGAGAAGAAGCCATTCTGACGAAAACTATCTGAGTTCAAACTGGGGGAGAAATCAGGAATGAGACAGTACAGTAGACAGTGACCCCCGTGAACACAAAAACTCTCAACAGGTTTTAGCAAAAGTATATATAATCCAGCCACATATATGTACATAAGTATATTGTGAGCAAATGGTCTTGCTCCTAGGGAAGGTAGCTGGTTCAATGTTTAAAAAGCAATTGATGCAACTGACCACCTCAATAGACTGAAGAAAAATCATGAATGTCTCAATAGATGCAGAGGGATAACTGATAAAATCAACATCAATTTTATGATAAGAACTCTCAGCACACAAGGAATAGAAGGTAACTTCCTTCACCCAATCAGGGCTATCTACAAAAAGCCTCCAGTTGATACTTAATGGTAAAATACTGAGTGCTTTCTCCCTAAATCAGGAGCAAAAAGAGGATTCTTACCACTTCTACTCAGATCACACTTGAGATTCTAGCCAGTCCAATAAGGCAAGATTTTAGTATGCAGATTGGAAAGGAAGAAGTAAAAATGTCTTTATTTGTAGACAGTGTGATTATGTAGAAATTCCAAAAAATCTGCAAACATATGACTATAACTAAGAAAGTTTCACCATACAGAAATAAGTATTATTTCAATTAGAGTAGTGGTTACCAAAGTGTGGAAAATGTGTAGCTGTATAGGGTTGGAGAGAAGAGAGAGAGAGGTGCAGGGATGCAGATGAACATAAAGAATTATTTCTGATGTTCTCTAAGATAATTATAGCCAATAATTATCTAACAGAGAAGATTTTGAATATTCCCAACACAAACAAATGGTAAACAAATGTCTGAGGTGATATGCTAATTGCTCTGATCTGATAATCACATAGTGTAACATATTGAAGTATCATATTGTACTCATAAATATCTATCATTATCATGAGTCAGTTAAATATATGTTTAAAAAGTTTATAGGCTAGAAATGAGCTAGAAAATTTAAAAAACATTATTTACAATAGTACCGAAAACATACAAGAATTAAGTTTAAACCAAAAGCTTAGTCTATCTTTGGAAAAAAAGAGCAGGTTGGACTCATTAACATTTTTCAATTTTGCTGTTCAAAAGACATTTTAAAACAACACTAGGCTGGGGATTTAGCTCAGTGGAGCCGCTGCCTGTCTCAAAGTGCAAGGTCCCAAGTTTGATCCCCATAACAAATAAATAAATAAAGAAAGAAATACTACATGACAGCTGGGCATGGTGGTATATGCCTGTAATCCTAGCGCTTGGGAGGCTGAGGCAGGAGAATTGCCACAAGTTTGAGGCCTGCCTGGGCTATGTAGTGAGTTTGAGGCCAGCCTGAACTACATAGTGAGACCTTGTCTCAAAAACAAAAACAAAAACAAACCTACAAACAAACAAACAAAAACCCTACATGACACAATTTGGGAAGTCAGAATTTATACCCAGGCTCTTCATACTGATAGGGACAATCCCCAAGTTATCAAATTTCATTGAATAGAAAATTCACCTGGAGAAAACTTAGGGAGATCCTTTTTTTTTTTCTTTTTTTTAAATCTGGCAGTGGAGAAAGTCTAAGCATTCCCCAAAATCCAGGTGTCATAACAAATGGATATATTAGACTTCATTTTGCATGGCAAAAACAAAAAAACAAAGCAAAGACAAAATGATACAACAAATGATTGAGAGAAAAATTTTCGCAACTCTAGTAATAATTAACTTATCTATATATATAAAGAGTTTCTACAATTAAATTAAAAAGACAACCAACCCAATCCAACATAAATGGCAAAGGAATAGGCACACAAAATTCCCTGGAAAGGAAAAGAAAATAATCTCGAATGAAGGCACTCAGGTTTACCCATAATTAATCAAAATGTAGTGAATATATTCTATGCTGATATACAGTTTCAATTATTGTAGCAAAAATTATCCCTACTTACCATCAACTATGATTATTTAAATTAGGATTTAAAAAAATAAGCCATTCTTCTATGGACAAGTGACGTAAGTATTGGTAAGATTTTTTTTTTTTCTGGTACCAGGGATCAATCTCAGGACCTTGTGCTTGCGAGACAAGTGGTGACACCACATGTGATGAGAATCATATCTCAGTAAGGAAAGAACAGCTCATATGATCAATGGGGCTTGGGCTCCTGGCTACCCATTTGGGGAAAGCAAGCATAGAATTCCACCTTTCTGAGATCACCTCCCAGGTGGATGGTGAGGTAGGGACCAGCCTGCTTTTTAAAAACAGCCTTTAACTGCCATGTACACTCTACACATACCCACACCACTCCTCCTTCCTCCCCTCTGGGAGCAAAATGGTTATCTGGATGGAGTGAGATTATAGGTGGTTTTTTTCTTCTTGACGTATTTTTGTGTTTTCTCATTGTTTACTAATTTTTTTTGTTTGTGTGCCAGGGAATAGACCCAGGACTTTGGGCAAACTACCGAGCTACATCCTCAGCCCTCCACTTAATTTTTAATAATTTATTTTTGTTTTGCTTATTTTCCATAGGATGCAATACATGTTGTTTGTTAAAACTTCTGGGAAGCAGAGAAAATTACAGAGAAGAAAATAAATGTCATAGACGGCCACACCAAAGAACAGTAGGATGCTACATCTCTTCACACAGACCAGCTTTCAGTAGGCTCTGAATAGTGTGTAGTTTGCAGCCCTTTTCTGGGAGGGGGACAATGGCTTGAGGTCTGTGTAATGATGTGTAAAGTACACCACGTCATTAGAGCCAGACATGTTGGGGGCTGCCAGGAATGTAGGTGTTGCTCCAAATTCTAGGCAGGGATCAAAGCAGCTCTGCAGGCTGCAGGTGCTGAGCAGGTGTTGAGAGCAGAGATCTCTGTGCAGCAGCCAGGAGAAGCCCTGACAGCTTGAGAACTAAATGTAAAACTTGGCAACACAAAGACACTCTCTTATCCACCCCTCAAAGTTTGAATTATTAGTAATGACCCTCTCAGCATCTGTAACACTTATGAGTGCCACAGTTGCTTTTCCTCTTGGAAATCTAATGGTTTTCCTAGCTTCCCATGAAACTTGAAATGTAGGCTGAGATTTTTATTTTCCTTATTTTCATGTGTACCCTCCAATAACACTAGTAGCTGGGGACTTAAAGTATATGTATAAACACAAAAAATATATAACATTATATGTAATACAAGATGAATATTATAATCTCATTCTTTGAAAATAGAATGTGCAAAAATTTAAAAACTAGATGGATGGATATTCCTCAAAATAAATGTCAACTGTCTTTGAGGGTTGAGACAATACATATTTTCAGGCTTTTCTGTATTTCCTATGTCTCCCATAATAAGCATAGGTCACTGTTATAATGGGAAGAAATCCAATGTGTGTTACTAGGATCAGGGAGAAGAGTTACCCCAGGACAAGACTGGCAGGTGGGTGAGTGGCTGCTCTGCCCCATGCGCCCTGGGGGAGGGCGGATAACACAGTCCCTTCTCCTGTAGGTCTTGGAGTCTTACCTCTCATTTCTGGAGAACGCTGCAGCATATTCTTCCTTAACCTCCTGTAAGCTGTTGGCGTTCCCATCCTCCAGATTGAAGGACACTATCGGAGTTGAAGACAACAGTTACAAAGGGAAAGCCAGGCCCTTATTTCGTCTCCCAAGGGGGCGCCCTGAACCCTTTTTTTCCTCTCAGGTTCAGCTTTAGGGAGTCCAGAATACATTTTGCACCTCTCCTGAACGTGAGGGGACAGCTCAGAACAAGCACGTTTTCTCTGGTTTGTTTTTTTTTGGTAAGGGGGATTGAACTCTGGACCTTACACTTGTGAAGTAGGCATCAGAAACACTGAGCTAAATCCCCGGCCCCTTTCTCTGATTTCTTAAGCTGAGGTCAGGTGCTCTGAAGGGGACTCGTCGAACTTGCACAGCTGGGCAACCCCGTCCCTCCTGTCAGTATAAACTCCCTGGGGGTGGGGCATCAATCTCAATTCTAGCCCAGTCACATCACCTGGCATACAGTAGGCCCTCAGTAAACATCTGCGGGCTCTGTCGTAACCCAGTCTCTGTTTTCAATAGAAAAACAGAACCAGCCTTGCCAGTGAGGGACTTATTACCTTTCAGCTTCAGCAAAGTGTCCAGGGTTCCTTCCAGTTCCTGAATATGATTCTTTGCTTTGTTCAGAACCTGCCACTGAGGACGGAGACAGAGACAGGCAATGTTGCAACGACAGCCTTGCACTGCAGAGACTAGTTTTGTGGACAGATTCCCCTCATTCTCTAAGGCATGAGGCCAAATTCCCTAAGGTGCAAAATCACACCCTCAACCTTGGCATTGGAAAGGATTTTCTAAAGCTCAAAAGGTGTGACGTCTCCCAGGAATGGATTCTCACCGAAATACCAAAGTATTTGGAAGCAAGCTGTGTTCAGCAGACTCTCAGTGTTTCAGAAAGGGAAATGACTATGTTGCCTCCTTGAAGGTAGGGTTCCTGAAGGGCACAGATGAATACCTGTCCACCCCAGCTTGCATGAAGGAACAGGCTAGGCTTCTGCACAGTTGGGACCACATGCAGCTGGCTATTTAGTATTAAATGCAAAGGCTCACAATATTTGCTAAATGCATGCACTCCAAATGATCTAAAAACTTACCAAGTGTTCTGTAAGCTTGAACCCTAAATTTCTTCCCTTCCCCTTCTTAGTGTCTTCCCTCCCTCCATTCTTCTCTACCTTCCTCATTTCCTTCTCTCTTTCCTTAAAGTCAAGACGGTAATTTCAAGATTACTCAAAAACAAGAAACACTAAATGTTACCTACATTTCTTGGGGGTCAGGGACATTCCTCAGGCCCAAGGAAGTGCAAAACTGTGTGCTGAGCCCCAGGGATGAAGAGTGAACAAGACAGTCCCCACTTTAGGACAATGACATCCCAAAGGGAAGCAAGCATGGAAGCAGCTTGTGATTAACACAGGCAGAACTAAAGAAGGGCTCACAAGGAGGACTACTCCGATAGGAGAGATCAGAAGAACTGTGGACCAGGGCAGCTGAGCAGAGCACGCCCAGCTTGGAAATGTGCAGGCCAGGCAGGCCTCCCTCACTTGAGGTACGGCCAGGAGTTATAGGGTGGCGAGTTGGACAGGGGGATGAGGCAGCTAGGGAGCAAGAGCCTAGGTGTTGTTATTCTAGATCCTCAGGGGTTGAAGATATATAAAAAGGAGACTTAATCCCCTTTCCATTTGCAAAAGCTCTGTTTCCTATGGGAGGGGAGGAGAAGGGAGTGTGAAAAGAATCAAGATGTGTCAAATACGTGTACCAACTGCCTGTAATAAATGCAATCATTATGAACTGCACACATGTACTAACAATTTTTTTAAAAAAATTTGAAATGAGTTTTGAGGGGAAACACAATGCTCTACTGACCCAAAGATGAAGAGACAGGAACAATAGTATTGTGTGAATTCAGCTGACAGCAAGATTGCTGAGCATCCCTTCTAGACCAATGCCCACCCCCTTGCTCCTGCATGCCAGGCTGTTCTTATCCTGGGACTCACAGTTATGTCAGGGGAGCAAGGACTTGGAATGAGGGGCCACTGGTTGCCAGAGTCCTAGGCTTGTCCTTAGGGTAAGAGGATGATTCTCTAGCTGCTGCGGCTTAAACGTGTGTACACTCTTGAATGACTATGGTGACACTTGGCCACCAACAGGAGGGGATTAGGAAATGTGGCCTTTGGAGTGGTGATTAAGTCAAGAAGACAGAGCCTTGGAAAATGGGATGAGTGCCCTGAGAAAAGAGGCCCAAGGGAGCTTGTTCATGCTTTCCAGGTGTGAAATCCCAGTAAGAAGGCACCATCTGGACCCAGACAGCCATCTCTCATTGGTCACTAAATCTGTGGATGCCTTGATATTGGATGGCCCAGCTCCTACACTTGTGAACAATAAATTACTATTGTTTATACATTGCCCAGGCACTCTGTTACCTTAGTCCAGGGTAAGTTGCTGGCTCAGTAGGATATTTCTGGCCCAACTCACACTTGGAGTCCAGCAAATCCAGAGAAGCCAGATGCTTTATTGAAATTCTGCTTCTAGAATATCTTTGGCAGGCTAACTTCTTAGAACCTTTGTTTGGAGTTGAATTTTATCCCTGCAAAAGGATATGTTGAAGTCCTAACCCCTAGAACTTGTGAATGTGACCTGATTTGGGAACACAGTCTTTATAGAGGTAATCAAGTTAAAATGAGATCCTTAGGTCATGCCCCAGTTCAGTATGATAGATGTCCTTATAAAAAGGTGAAATGTGAACACAGACAGACACACACAGGATAACTGAAGATGAACAGGGTGAACATGTCCACGTGGCTGGGGTGATCCATCTATAAGCCAAGAAGTGCCAAGGATTACTAGCAAATGCTAGAGGTTAACAGAGACAAAAAAGATTCTTCCTTGGGCCAAGGGAGAGAGCAGAACCCACGGAGTACCTCGATCTTAGACTGCCAAAACCATCAGTCAATGTGTTTCTGTTGTTTTTCAATCATCTACTTTTGTTATGGCAGCCCTAGAGAACTCATAAGACCTTGTTCTCTATAGAACCTTGATTTTCAAGAAAAATCCTGGGTTGTCTCTTAAAAAGAAGGCAGACTAGGCCCTGCCAATCAAAGCAAGTAATTTAATGTTCAGGAGCCTCAGTTTCCTAAACTGCAAGGTTAAAATTATATATAATGGAAATAGTGATACTAACACTATAAGACTCTAATGATAATGTTAAGTCTTTTCACTTGAGGATCTTGTTAAATAGTTTCACAGGCCTGTGATGGGCCATGACTATCTTTCCTTAACAGATGGCTTCCTGAAGTCAGAAGGAACTTTCCTTCATTCACTGAGGCTGGTTAACAGTCATGCTATATCACCCGCTATGCCATGAGGGCCAACTTTAGGCATGCACATGGTTTTGCTCTGGAGTACCTGAACTGCTTGTGAGACCCTGCATACCTACTCCTTCTTTGTGAAGACTTCTTTGATGACCTATGCCAGGGAGTTTGGTTTTAATGCATTCCTGGAAGCACACAGCAAGCATCTCTTCCTCTAAAGGACATGGAGCACGTGCTGGGCGAAGCTTTCATCAGAGCAGCCAGATGTGCTATGAGCCAGCTGGGTCCTGAGCCTCTTTAGTGCTGCCTAGCAGAGGGGAAGAACAGCTTTCCAACTTTGGCCTTCACCAGCCTGCTGCATCATTCTACAGGAGCAAGTGGGGTCTCCGGTTCCTAGGCTAAAAGCAAAAGAAGCCCCACTCGGAGGCCTGCACAAGGGTGCTCAGGGGCAGCTCTCTTTGACCTCCATAGAGACCTGGCCCTATGCCTGCTCAGGAGCTCTTCTGGATATCTGTCCCCAAATAAGAAGCCTCTGCAAACATGGTGAACAGCCAGCATGGAGCCCATGAGTTCTGTGCTGCTGACAGACCCACCCAGAGATGAAACTGTGCTGGCTGGAAGCAGGTACAGGACAACAGGGATGTCCTGAGAGGTGGCCATGCTTGGAGCAGGTATGTGGCCTCCTCCTGGCACTGCCCTAACCAGCATGCAAGTTCTTCCTCAACTCTGGTTCCCTCTTCTCTTGGGGAGCCTTTGTCTTCTGGCCTGTCATGCTTCCACTGCTAATACTAACTCCATTCCTTCTACCATTTCCCTAATCTACCCAGACCTTCCTCCATGCTGTCAGGTAATTCATTTATTTACTGCTAATTAGCAATTAAAAACTGCATGGGGGGAAACAGAATTAAAAGCAGGATAAGATAAATGCTTACCTGGAGAGATCCTTTGCCTAGGGAAAAGACTCCCTTGGTGCACAAAACCTGAGGGTGTACATGTACACTGTATACACATATGTGTATGTATGTGTAGTAGTGGTATAGTGCATGCATGTGTGGATTTCTGTGGTGTGTGCGTATGTACATGGTGTGATATGTACCCGAAAACAAGCGCCGATGAATGTGTGTTTAGGTAGAGGTATGGGGTCCTGGAGCAGCTGCAGAAATCTTGCTGCTGCCTGCAAACGGGTTAGGCATGGCAGTCACTGGCTAACCAAGCATCTCTTCAAGCGCATCACTTCCTTCTGTGTCAGGCTGGTCCATGCAAGCAGCTATGGCCTGGTGCTCACAGTTCACCTCTGCATAGCAGCAGCAGCAGCAGCACTCCTGGTGCTACAAAGCATCTCTCAAGGCTGGGCAGCAAGGTCAGCAGCTCCAGGCCAGGCCTCACCTCAACCCACCTCCCTCTACAGGTGGAAACATCTCCCCACACCCAGGCCCCGATACCTTTGAAGCTGTGAGCTCAGACTCAGAGTAAACCATCTTCCTCAGGTTATCGAAGAGCCCAGCCATGGTGGCTCGGTGGCGGGCCTGGGACAGGCGTCTTCGGGCCACACGGGGTTCCAGCTCCTGTAGCTGCATCAGTGGCTGAGGCACTGTGCCACCAGGGTGGCTGCCTTCTCCAGAGGCTGACATACTAAGCTGCAATGTAATATGCCTTTTTGCCCTAAATAATAAAAGAGAACATCAAGAAAGAAGAAAGGCAGGTTGAGCACAGAGAAAGGAGGTACCTCCCAGGTAAAAGATTCCAACCCAGTGAATATAACATAACAGACACAAAATTTGTTCCTGGAGATTGATTCTGAGACTCACAAGCCAACTAAACTGGACTCACAGTGGAGAGGCCTCATGGCACACTGCCCAAGCTCACCAGACACTTGTTAATTTCTGTGACCAAGGACAACAGGCACCTGGGACATTGTGCCTCATACTCTGTCAAAGTTGAACAGGCACATATCCTACCTGGGAGAGCTTGACAGTCTTAAAGAGGGCCCATGCCCTCTTTGATCTGGAGAATGGTTACTCTGGTGTATGCATTTGAAAAAGAATCCATCACAGTGTCTACTTTTGATTAATGAATTTTTTTGTGTATGTTATACCTCAAAAAGGAAGAAAAATAGAGGATGACCTGTACCTCATTTGGCACTTCATGAAGAAGCAGAGGTGGGTTTGCCTTGTTTTGCTTCTGGTGTGGTCTGAAGATGATGATTATGTCAGTGTTATGGTTTAGATCTAAAATGTTCCCCAATGTCTCATATGTTTCGAAGGTGATGGGGTTATAGAGATGCTATACTCATCAGTGGATTCATTCATGGATGAGTTCTACAGCTGAATGTTGACAGAAAGTGGGGTCTGGTTGGAGGTGGGTCACTGGGGCTGTGACCTGGAAGGGTGTGTTCTCATCTCAAGCACATCTTTTTACGCTCTTCTTCCTGTCTGCTACAAGTAACAGCTTTCCTTGGCTGTGTCTGTCCACCAGGTTATTTCTGCCTTGGAGCCAGCCCACCATAGCCCACTGAAACCATGGGCCAAATTAACCTTTATTCCTTTAAGTTTTGAGTGTCAGATACTTTATTCCAATGACAGGTAAGTGGCTAAGACAGCTGGCCTCTGTCACATCTGAGTTTACAAACCAAGAGCTCTTCTCTAGGTGAGTGGATTTGGGGACTGACAAGTAATCTTTGAGAAGAGGCAGGCAGGAGTTCCTCTTATCTAAGCATGGCTCCCTCTGTCAGAGAGAGAGAGAGAGAGAGAGAGAGAGAGAGAGAGAGAGAGAGATCACCTAATATGTGCTCAAAGCACAGCTGCTCCTGATAGCCCTGATAGCTTTCTGAACAGAGTAGTTGTACCTCCATGACCTAACACCCTCAGTGCCTGGGGCAGAGCCTGGTTCCCTGTAGGTGCTCAGTGCCCATGCCTAGGATGAATTAGAATGGGAAGCTTCTGATGGCTGGCTCCACTCTCCCTGAGTTAAGTCCTACAGTATAGGGACAGAGCATGAATTTGGCCAGGGGCTTGCGAATTTCAATACAGATCAGTCACTTGGGGAAATATAAGCATGCTATGGATTGCATGCCTGCTCCACACTTCAGGTTGATATTTACTTGCCATTGTGACAATGTTAAGAGGTTGTGCCTTTAAAAACTGATAGAGAAATGTCATCATCCCAGGAGTGGGGCCATTACTCAGGAAAATGTGCTCCTGATAGAAAGATGAGTGCAGACTCCTTTTTCCTTCTGCTTACACTCATGCTGCTGCTCTCATCCTCTCTTGCCATGTGGTACCTGCCTCCATGTCATGGCATAGTAAAAGGCCATAACCACATGCAGCCCCTTGATCTTGGACTTGACAGCCTCTAGAACTATCTATAAGTTGCCAAGTATATCACAGCAGAGGGAAATGGGCTAAGATAATACATAAATGAGGAAGTTGATGGGAAATACCGCCCTGGATGAATGGTATAAAATTGCAAGGGTCCTTTCAGGACCTCAAATTCTCTAACAGTCATAGAATACTACACAAAAGGTATCTGGGCTTATGGGAAATATGGAATTCTACTCATGTCAACGTTAATGCCAAAGCTGATGATTCAGGTTTTTTCCAGGGCTTCTGCTCAGACACAGTCTGTCTGAAATATCTGGTGGCTGGGGACAGTTCCTGAACAGGGATGCAGTCCTCAGCCTCCCCTGTAGGGGCAGACTTTCCCATTATTTACTGTCTTCTGGAGGCAGCCAGGGCTGTCAGCGTTCACTGCCCACCTCAAGGGAGGGGGCAGCACCAGAACATCCTGGCAGGTGCCTGACGCTACGTCTTCCACCTCCCTCCACCTGCCCAGGTGCCCTCTGGTCAGGAGTTGGGAGAAAATTCTCCCCTTGGGGCTGGAAGAGGTGGCACTTCGGGGAAGTTAAGAATGATCTGTCCCCTCTTCTTGAAGGGGAGAATGAAGCCCAATTGATGTGAAACCTAATTATAACTTGTGTGAATTACAGTATTCTCCCCCTGAATACTACTTCCTGCTCACCAGTAGGAATGATTTTGCCAGGATCCCCCAGAGCTAATCTTTCCCAGTTATCTTGATTGACTTGAAATTTTGTTTTCTGTGGCCCTGATGATGTGGCTTAGGTCAGTATTTTTCAGAATGAGATTTTTGTTGTGTGTGTTGGATCTGTCCTGTTAGCATCCATGATTTGTGTGAAGGGCTGACTTGCCCAGCACAAGTGTCACAGAAGTCATTATCTTGGATAGGGGAAGGGCAGGCAGGACCCTCCTTCATCTTATTTCAAAAGTTGGTTCTATTGCTAGGAAAGAGGGAACAGAACATATGGTAGACGGAACCAAGTAGAGTGTAAAACTGAAATCAAGAGATGATCTTTTATTTAAAATAAAAATATTTTTATCTAAAAAAGAAAAAAAAAACCTTTGCAGATGAAAGTGTGTTAAGGAAGCTGCTGCTAGCAGTCTAAGGTATTAGAACAGCATGGAGAAAATGACATTGAACTTTGCTCCTAGGACAAGTGGCATTTTAATAGTCCCAAACACTCACAGCCTCCCAATTTATCCTTTCTCTCACTTCGTTCTTTAACAAGAGACACTTTTTGCTCTTCTTCCCACTAAATTCTATTTCATAGCCCAAAACCTTTCAGGTCACCTTAGCTCCAGCTTTCTCTGGCTCTGCCCCAAGTTTCTACTTATCTAAAGCCAACTTTAAGTCCCATTTCCTCTGAGAAGTTTCTCATCTCCAAGCTCCTCTGGTCTCTAATTTAATCTTGTTTTTCTAACAAGCCAGTAAGTTCTTTGGTTAGAATCCATGGATCAAGCATTGATGGTATTCTTCCTAGGATGTAATTAATAAAAGTCTCACTTAGTCACTCCCTTTCTTGGATGTTTCTTCCAGACTGCAACTGCTAAAAGTTTTATTGTCTGGACCCTGAAGCCAAAAATCTACCAGACATGGGGACCAGTGCTGAATGAGCTGAGGGACACTAAGATTAAGAGGGAAACTTGGAGTAGGAGGGGGAAATAACATGTTAGTTTCACCGTGACTCTAAATATCTCTCTGGATCTCAGGCAATCACTGACTTATGAATTCAGTCCTTGGCAAGATTCACAGTGAGAGAACCTGTTTGAGATGCTTAAAACGTCCTCTGAAGATGACGCCAGCCAATTGCTACATAACAAAGACAGAGATTATACAGAGGAAGAACCTAGGTGTTCCATTCTTACTCAAAACTGGACATGGTCGGAGAGGTGAATATAACTGGTAAGATATCTAAAATATGCAAGCACAGGAGAAACTCAGTGCAGAGAGTATTTGAAAGATGATAGTTCTTAACAATCCCAGGCAAGTGAATGATGCTCTCATGGATGGTTTATTAACAAAGGATAAACGGGTATAGGGAAAGATGCTAGTTTATGGCTTGGCCCAAGACCTGGGTCATAACCCTAGCTTTAGGTTAACCAGCCATGTGACTCTGGAGAAGCTAAGAAACTTTAGGTTTTAATTTCTTGATCTGTATTAAAGAGGTTAACTATTTTCTTTTTACAAGGTCATGGTCATGACTACATGGCTGTCTTACATTCAAGCCAAACATGTTCTAACAGGAATGACATATGCAGCACACAGTACTGTGCAAAGCTGCATCTCAAGGAATCCTGAGGCTGCAGTTCAGTGAAAATTCACTGAATGCTTTGTGTGTGTGAAGCCCATTCACTCTGCAGGAAATTAGAGCCAAACACACTATGAAGCATTTTAGAATGGCCATAGCACTAACATATTTTCCCTCTGAAGATCTCACTGCTGTGTTCACCCTTGTCTGTGGGATCACCTGGCTGAGCAAAAGCTTTTCAATCTAATGAAGTTAAAAGGCAGCTTCCTCGATAACTTCAACTAAAGGACATTTTGTGAAGATTCACATGGTCACATGCCATTTTTTTATTCTCATCTATAAAGTAGGGCACACTTTCTCATAGTCGAGTATTTTCCTACATATACATCACTTAATACTCACATAGAAATGACATTTTGAAGACTCCCTAGACAAAAATAAATGGTCTCACCTTTCTAAGTTTGAGGAAAACTTTCAGTCTCTATTCTTCCCCAGGCTAGGCTTGAACCTGTTATCCTCTTACTGCAGCCTCTCACAGTGCTAGGATTACAGTCATACACCACCCCACCCAGCCACAGCCCTTTTTATTTCATTTTATTTTTTAAAAAATTTGAGACAGTGTATCCCTCAGTTGGCCAGGCTAGTCTCAAACTTGCAATCTTCCTGCCTCAGCCTCCTGAGTAAAACTTTCAATCCTTAAGTACCAGAAAACATTTGAATATGATCCATTCTCCTTAGCAAAATTTAGTCAAACTCATAAAATACTTTAGAACTGTATTGCCAATTTATTATATACACATACAAAATCCAGCTTAATGATAACCTCTCTCAATAAATACATAAACAAAATTTTTAGAAAGGAAAAGCCTGGGGATGCAGTTCAGTGGGAAGGCTTTGAGTTCAATTCCCCCATGGTGACACACACAAACCCTCCTATGCACTGTGCAGCAGATCCCCAGTTCTTGTCAGGCTACACGCATGAAGCCCACGGGTGTGTCTATACACACCCACACACAAAGCCCCCCAGGATTTGACCCCCCCTTCGATACTCACACACCGAGGGTGAGGGCACTGTGCACCTCACGGCTCCACTCACGGCTCCACTCACGGCACACGCAGGAGGCCACGAAGCTACAGCCGTAGTCACCTCCTGCCTCGCACCAGGGGGCGCCTGCTAGGCAGAGAACAGGCGGCTTGGCACCTCGGCTGGGGTGGGGACCAATCATGCCCTGTCAGCAGTCCCAGCCAATGGGGACGCGAAGTGGCAGGCCAATGGGAGCTCAGGCAGAGGAAGCATTGCAACAAATTTCTAGAAGGATACACTGAGGGTCACGGAGGGCAGGGCACGGGCTGACCTTTTCACCCTGGGGCTCTCGTCCTCCACTGACCTTCTGACCTCGGCCCCTAGTCCTCCACGGGGTTGATGCCACCCACCTCGCAGGGTCGGAGAAGACATCAACAACGGACCAGGGTACCATGCTTGGGTCTCAAGGAGAGAAACAAAAATGTGTACATGAATTAGGGCACAGACACAGACAGAAGGGAGAGAGTTGACATTTCAAGGGAGAAGACAAGGAGGAAGGGGACTAAAAGAGTGGAGACCTCTAAAAGTCAGCTTGAATCATAAAGAACAAGTCTTCATCCCTTGGGATGGCAGGAAGCAGGCATTCTCTAGCCCGCTAATAATTCATTTTTTCCTCCTTATGTATGCGTGAATTCTGACCTTTAAGCCTTTCTTTGCTCGTATCCCTGTATCCCCAGATAGCCCATGATGGTCCTGAACCTTTGCATCAGTTACTTACAACGAGTATGAGGTGGCCTGGTACCCTTTTGTGCAGAGGTTAAGACTGGAAAGGCTGGGCTCAGGGCCTGTGTGGAGATGAAGGCGCCCCCTGGTGTCCCTAATCCAGTTGAACGACTCGGGCCAGGGGTTAAACAGAGGTCATCCAGCTCAGCAGAAGGAGCAGGGGCTCTGGTGACATCCAGACTTGAGTTCCAATCCAGGCTCTATCTCACAGTGACTGTGACGGCTATATACAAGCCCATACCTAAAGCATGCAGTACCTTACACTTAACTGTAGGGAGTCACAAAGGATTTGGTGGAACATTAAATTAAATATAATGAAACTGTCACAAATAAAAAAACACACAGAAGGAGTCACTGATTCTTCTCCCTTTCAAGGAAAAATTTAAATACTCCTTTATTTCTGAAATTCTGACTAGATCATTTGGGGGCCTGTCCCTTCTGACCCTCAGGATGGGATGTTACTCAGAAGCCTATTTACCCGCAGCAGTCTGATTTCTTTATTGAAAATGAGGATCTGGTCTACTTTAATCAGCTACTCACAGCCACAAAGCAGATGGCTCTGTTGGTGAACCCTAGGCACCTCCTGTGTCCTCTCATAGCTCTGGGTACAATCAGAGATCTGCCCAGCAACATCCACTTACACCATTACCCTCTCACCCTAGCCTCTTCCTCACGGTAGCATAGGTCCTGCCCTAAAAGACACCCCCTTAAGCACAGTATAACATAGAACCTTCCCTGAAATACCCTCCCTTTACCAGCAACGTATCCTGCCCTAAGTACCCCCGACCCTGAATAATGGTGTAAATGCTGCCTCAAAATAACTATCCCATGCACCTGTAGCATTAGATCTTCTCCAGCTTTCCCCTACTGCGGGAGTATTCCCTTTCCCCAGATCCAGCTCAGCATTTGACCATCCAAGGATGGCCACCTCTGACTATGTTCTATGGCCTTTGACCCTGACTTTCTGGTTGGAGAATTTTCTGGACTTTTTAGAACTGATTTTCTACCATTGGTGTCTATTTCATGTGATAAAGGGCAGTGGCCTCAGACTCCATCATCTTATCCTCCACACAAGATGAGTGGGATGTATCAGGTATTGAATGTCTACTGTGGTCCCAATTCTCATGGACAACTCTGCGAAGGAGCTTATCTCCATTTTATAGATGGGGAAACCAGACTCAGACTTGCCTAAGGTCTAGCACTTTGGGTGGTCTCCTGCTCAGCATGCCTCCTTGCATGGCATCTAGTTCAATAAATATCAACAACCTTAGGTGAGAGATAAATTTGCATGATTGTATAATTTTCAGAACAAAAGACACTCCACTCTGAACTGAGGTTTGTGGGCAGTGGCTGCTGGGGAGATAGTGAGAAGGGCAGTGATGCAATGGAGAAATGCACTGTCTGACTCCCCTTATTGGATCCCAGCACTTTTGCCAAGAGGCGCCTGAGACACAGCCTCAGAAAGGTTTTTGCCCATTATGTCCCTTGCATAGGACCAGACTTTGACTTCCAGTAGATCTTGTGTATACAGTAAGCTCCTTTATGGGGAGTAAATGTTGCTGGGTCAGCATGGTTGAACACTTCCTGCCATAGCAGGGCATAAATGATCCTCAAAGCATCTCCCAGGGGGAGACCTCCTGTCCTCTCAGACTTCCATAGTAAACTACCAAGGGCTCCTGGCCTGACAATGAGAAACCCGGATTGACATAAGAGACCCCATTTTGTTTAAAACCCAATTACTGCCCCTTTAGAGACCACAAAGTGTGTGCTTATGGCTATCATAAAACTGACATAGCAGGAACGGTTTATGAGGCTCACCTGCCAGATGTACTATCTGATCCCTATCTGAACTCAGGAATTTTGCTATGAAAAAACCCATTCCCTACTTGAAACATTTCATGCTATTCTGGGCAAGATAACAGGAGAAGCCTTTAACGGATTGTACCAGAGGTCCCAGATGTCTTAACTGTGCATTCCTTCTCACTTCTGTAAATGTGCTCTAGGCTAAGATAAGCAAGTCTACACTGAGGTAAAGGAGAGTGGGAGGAGGGGGAAATTTTTTTTTCTTTTCTCTCTTCCTATAAAAACTGTACTCAGTTTCAACTTGGGACCTGATTCCATGGCCAGTTCCATGGGAGGGTGGGTCCCGGCAGGCAAAATAAAGTTGTTTAAACTTTATCACCATGTCGTGTCTTGCACAAGGATCTCACTGAGGGACTGGGCACAGCAACGTTACAATTCAGCATCAACTTTCAAGAAACCTACTTTTGGGGTTTTGATTTTAAGTGTTTATGAGGTGTGGTTGAAAACTACAGTGAATGTTTACATTTTTAAAAAATGTTATAATAGTGAGAGACACAATGCCATTATCATCCTCAAAATATTCTCCTTTGCTTTGAACACACTTATGTCACTGTTCTTGCCACCTTCTGAAGCAATTCTGGAAGTCCTTCCATGAGTGTATTTATTTGCACTGTCTTGGCTACCTTAATGTCTTGAATCAGTTAAAAACTTCTACTTTTCAGGGTCATTTTGACTTTGGGGAAGAGCTAGGAGTCATATAATGCCAGGTCAGGTGAATAAGGTGGATAAAAACATACTGGAATGTTTTTGCCACCCTGCCTTTCTGTGGGATGGTACTTGCCAGCATCATTCACGACATTTTTGATCACACCTGACGAGAGTCAAAAGAGGATGTATGAATAATGCTATCATGAGTATTACAGTGGTACCTTGGTTCATGAACTTCTTTCTATGATTCTGATCACAGAATTCATTCCACAGTTGCTGCAAGAATCGTGGAGAGAATTAAGTTCCTGAACTGAGGCACTACTGTAAATAGAGTAAATACATCCTTAAGACAGCTAACGTCTTTATGTAATAATTTTGACATCTGTTCCTCCTCAAACACTATTTCTATTGACTGCTTATCTTCCTTTTGTGCAGGCCATGCTTCCCCTCCTCTGTTATCTCTATCACAATTATTTTTGGTTGACATGGGATGTTTAAAATAATATAATGTGATATCTTTAAAAACTGAATTCTGTTCTCTTCTCAGAGGTTTTTTATTGTTGTTGTTATTTGTTTACTGTTGCTCTAGTGACTTTCTTGGGCTAATTCTTTAAGTCTTTATTCTCTGTCACATGCACCCGTAGAAACCTAAGCTTGATTAACCTAGTGGTCATCTAGCGATTGCATGGGCATTTTCCTAAATGCTTTGAACCAATAAGTTTCCCAACTTTTTCCAAGGCAAGTGCTTGCATTTAGTATGTTTTCAACACTCTGGTGCTTTAAAATTCTTTTTTTGCCTTTAGTTCCTTTTTGCACAGAGCCTCAAAGTCAGCCAGAGGAGAGAGAATAGAGCCTTATGAGGTCTCTTTCCCGGGGCCTTAGCAGGTCTCTCCAGTGGCTTTCTAGATGCCCTGGAATATACTGGAGTTTTACAAATGTCCCCTGCAGACCGATCATTCTGCAGTTTTTTTCTATTAAGTTTTTGGTCAGCCTTTTGTGAGCCCAAACTGGTAGTACTACCTCAGACAGCTGTGACAGTAAACAATAGCTGTTGATTGTCTTTGACAAATTCCTTAACAATAGACTATTCTTACCCACCAAGCTCTGAGTCAGGTCAACTAAAGAGAAGCCCTAAGAATGGAGTCCTTTATGTGCCAGACTGGCCAAATAAGCCATCTAGGGGAGGGCTTTTAGAGCTCTCATTCCTTTCTATCCCCTCCAAGGAGTCAAGGGACTCCTGAGCTGATAGTTTTCATAGCTATGATCATTGGAATTGCAAAATTCTTGGATTTCAAACCACTATAGAGTCAAAGAAATGGAGATGGAAGTAAAGCAAATTAAAGTAACTAAAGCATTGATTTTCCCCAAATTGCAGCTTTTTTCTTGAACAAATACTCCTTGGATTGTTGCAAGCCTTTGGTTAATTTTCAGAGTCTGGAAAAATTGATTTTGACCATTTTTGCAGTGTTCTCATTACTTTTATGAGAGGTGCCTTTTTGGAGGTCTTTACTTCACCATTCTGGAAGTGCTTCTCCTTCCTCATTTGTTGCTTTCATTTTTGATTAAAATATTACTGGAAAGAGAGCATTGAGTCAGACATTCTCAAATAAAAACAAAACAACCAAAGGCCAAGGCAAGTGGTTCAAGATGATTAATTGAGAGAGTTCAGGCTAATGGGGGTCAACCTTGGCTGTATCTTTGGACTACCTAGGGAGCTATTAAGAATTGCTAATGTTTGAGCCCCACCCTGAGAGATTCTGGTTTACAATATGGCTTCTATATCAGTAGGAAACATAGTCTAAAAGCTCCTTGGGTGGTTCTAATATGCTGCAAGGTTAATACCATCATTTAGAGTGGGCTTCAAGGGAGAGTAGATGAAATTACAAAATGGGGCTACTCTATAATGGCATGAATCTAAATAGTAATGTTTTCGAGTGTATGCTATAGAATGTTTCTATACAAGTCACCTAGATCAGTGATTCCCAAATTATGACTTGAGGTACTAGGATTTTAAAGTTTTTAAATGTTTTTCCAGTCTGTATGGATTAAAACTTTTATAAAGTGTAATAAAAATAAATTACCAGAAAAAATGGAACAAAATGAAAGACAAAATATATTGTATATATATATTGTATATATTGTATTATAAGAGACAACAAATGCAAAACTACTGTGCAAAACAGCTATAAATGTGGATGCTTATGCTCAGTTGACTTTGTTGTGAGTTGATAGCAAGTTACAAGAGCCAGTACAGAGAGCAAGTAAACCCACCTTTGGGCTTTTGTTGAAGAAACCAGTCTTAGGCATTGCTGACTGTATAAAGAGAGCTAGTCAGAGGGAGGTGCCCACAGGTGAGGCTCAGAAGTGCAGTTCTCCTTTGTCCTTTTCGGCTGGCAGTAAGATAAGGCCAAAGAGGTGAGTCTTGGAGATACAGAAAAGGTATGGTTGTATATAAATTTAGAGGATGACATCTAGCTCACCTGTCGCCGGCACAGGCTAGTGGAATCCACTAAATAGGGGCCATTGCCCCAGATCCTGATGTAAGGAGACGTAGAACATTTCCCCAATAAAGCACTGGGTGAACCTCTACAGACAGTGGGTAAAGGTAAAAGGAAGAGAGTGACAAAGACATACTGGAAAGGGCAGTTTCATACTAGCACAGGCCATGACAAAGATCTCAAGGAGAGGGAGAGGGAGGGAAAAAGAAGGGGGATCTGCTCCAGGTATTGCAGAAGGTGGAATCCAGTTTGGAGAGGGCATGGAAGTTGGTTTTTACAAAGTGACACAATAGAGACAGAATTCTCCGTGGTATCCTCCAGATGATGTTTCAGAAGCCCAGATTACTTATTAACCCATGAGACTTGGATTGTTCCAGCAGTGAAAGTGAATGATTTTATGGACTAATAAACTCATTAGCTCCTACAACTGACATCTCATGGTGTTATGGGTATGTGCTATCTGTCCTGTGCAAATCAGGACTTCGATGCCTTAGGAGTTGGAAGACAAAGCAGAAAGGGAGGGAAAGTTCTCACTCTAATTTGAGCTGCTCCTTAAGGAGCATGGCCTGAGATCTGAAAGTGGCTCTTTGGTGTTTTTTCTTTTTGTTTTTTTTTTGTTTGTTTGTTTTTGGTTTTTTTTTTTGAGACAAGGTCTCATTTTGTAGTTCAGGCTAACCTTGAACTCACTATGCTGGCCTTGAACTCACAGTGATCCTCCTGCCTCAGCCTCCCAAATGCACAGCTACCATGCCTAGCTTCACCTTCATCTTTAGAAATAGACAAACCCAGCTCCCATCAGGTACCTTGTAGAGTGTGAGCCTTGGGGGCTAGAAATGCTGAAAGGAACTCTGGATCTTTCTGGTTCAAGGTGTAGTTACATTTGAAAGTTTTTAGGGATTAGTTGATAATGGCTTTGAAATAGTCATGACTAATATATAACTGTCATGATAAATGAACATGCCATCATCAAAGACTGTATTCATTATATTTAAAAATTCCAAAAATAAATGTGTTCATAGCAAAGAATTTGAGAATATTAAAAAGTATCATCAGAAAGCACCCATAACATTCAACACTTTAACTACTCAGTGAATAACTATTAGTATTTTGTATGTGTACATATACATCAAAATATTTTTGCAGTCTTTTTTTTGAACTCGGGTGTTTGCCAGGCAGGTGGCGGAACCACTGAGCTAAATCCCCAGCCCTTACATCAAAATATTTTATAAAGCAGTGATATTACATTTACACTACATATCATACCTTAAAAAATTAAACTTATTTTGGTGTAACTATAGATTAAAAGGCATAATAAATAATACAGAGAGACCCCATATACTCTTTACTCAGTTGTCCCTAGTGGCAACATCTTACAAAAATAAAGTACAGAAAACTACCATGGAAATCAGTATGGAGATTCTTCAAAAAACTAAAAATAGAAATTTCATTTGGGCTGGAAACTTAGCTCAGTGGTGCTGCTGCCTGCCTTGCAAGCACAAGGACTAGAGATCAATCCCTGGTACCAAAAAACAAACAAACAAACAAAAAACCAAAAAGAAATTTCATTTGACACAAGTATTCGCCTTCTAGGTGTCTTCCCAGAAGAGTAAAAGACATGCTACCACCATGTGTATGATGCAACCCCAAAAGAGTAAGACAAGACCTTTGACAAACGCTTGAACTAGGACAGGCTGCTAAGCATGTGAATATTTGGAGGAAGATGTTCCAGGTAGAGCAAAGAGCTTGTGCTAGGACTGAAGAGCTTTCATTGATCACCAAACTTGGCTGGTTTTGCAGGCTTTGTTTGGTGTGCGAAGTGCCAGGGCATAGGAGGAGGGGGAAGGGAGAACTGTGACCTGCAGACTTCATTGCCCTAAGGAGATCAAATTCCTCACTTTCCAGTAGATTGCTATCTGCCCAGATTTCTTGAGTTCACTTGTCTGATGGACTGAGATCCCAAGGCAGGATGCGGTCTGGCTCTCCCAATAGTACAGCAGCGACCCTCCTTTCCTGTCCCTTAGGAGCCAGGCTGCCTGGCACATACACTGGAAAACATGACAGAAGCAAAACCAGCACCTCCCTTGTCTTGCGGTGGCTTGGTCTTTATTATCTCTTTGGGTTTCCCTAGAACAGATCAGAACCCTTCTGGTGCTGAATTTCTGTATAGTAGGATTGGAGGGTCTGAGCCCAGTGGTATGTTTGAGTTGCCTTTTAACAAGCACAAAATGCCATAGCATTCGAGGGAAGAAAAAGGCAAAACTTTTATCAACAGATCATTCATGAGGCTGTTTCTATGCATTATCTTATGGAGTCTTCATTATAAATCTGCAGCGTAGGTGTTATTGCTACCATTTCACAGATAAAGGCTCAAAGATAGTATCTTCTTTCTGCCTTACAAAAATACGGAATGCCTTGTAAAAATTTCAAATGATTCAAAAAAATGCAAGAATAAGAACACTTCGTTTCACCTCAAACAATTGTAAGAAATCGATGCATAGTCTCCTTGAATTTGAAAATGTAAACATAAAAGTTTTTTGTTTTTTTTTTTTGAGAATCCGGAACCACAATGCACATACTATTCTGCAACTTGCCTTTTCACCTAGCAGCACCTGGCCATGCAGTTAACCAGTCTTACACATGATAGCGGGGCTTTTGAGGAGTTAGCGCTTTCTGATGCCATAGCTGGCCGGGTGATTGCACTTTGTTACTTTGACTCCAGTTCCCCTCTTCTGCAAAAAAAGGACAGCGGTCCAAGCGTTCCGCGATGTAATAATGTCAATAAGCAGGGCGCCTCGTTGCCCCGCCCGCCTCGTGACTAGACAACAGACGATTTTAGCCGCAAGCCGGAGAGTGGCGCACAGCTTCTTCTAGGAGCCCCTACAGGAGCGAGATGACGTCAGGGGCGCTGGGCGGGCCCGGAGGCGAGGAGAGGGGTGGAGCCACAGGCGCGCGGCGGCGCCCCAGGCGTGCTG